AGTATCTCTCGATTACGGCACCTACTAATATTTCTAACCATGAACAATACCACAATCTTCTATATGAATCATCGGGATTCCGACCTCCTCTCATCTGACTCACCCTCCAAAAGCCTCATCCACCCCATCCCACCCGAATATTCTAAATCCACATCCGCCTGGTTGACCCGGTTTACGGCGGTGATGATGATGATGTTGGGGGGTGGGCGATGAAAACATCAGCCGGAGGGGGGAGGGCGCTAAATTTTCCGGGTGACCGTTTTTCCATGGGCCCGCTAGCAGCAAGGGGGGAAGCAAGTAGGCTTCTCCTACTCCAGTCTCCCTCCCGGCTATTTGCCCAAGAAATGGGGGTGCTTGCGGGCTAAACGCTGCAGAAGATGAAATATTTCTTTTTGGGCCAAGTACGCGTGGACTCGATTCCTTGAGGCGTAGTCTTGGAAACTTTGGACTTATCTACACCTGAGAAACGAATTATGTAGCTCATTACCGCCCACCCACGCAAAAATAATATACATTTCGCTCTTAGTCCTAGACTTCCGACTCATTTTCTAGAATAATAAACCTAGGCGCGCATTTCTTTGCTCAAAGGGTGTTAATCCCGATGCCGACTTTTCCATAGCTCTCTCTCTCTCTCTCTCTCTCTCTCTCTCTCTCTCTCCCTCTTCCCCACTCCAGCTCCTCATCTGATTGTGAGGCCTCTCCCCCGTCAACCAAATCGGTTATTAGACAAGGCGGATGGATGGAGGCTGGGGGGGGTGAAGACATCCCCTCTTCCATCGGCTCTAATCCTTTGTCATTTCCGGCGCATCGGCACGACATACGCACCGTACTCTTCTCTTTAATATTCTTATCCGCTTTTGATTATTGATTTGTGTTTTGGAAGGGATAGGGTTTAAAGCCTTTGCGCCTATTCGTCAGTCATGAATTACGATCAAAGGCTGTCCGGTGACTCTTTGTGGTTTTCTAGAAAATTTTGAACGGATTTAGGTGCGTAATGGTGCGTAATTGGTAGCCAAGCCAACAAAAATCATTTAAGACAAATTATAAGCGTAAACGGATTGACGCGATTGACCTTAAAATAACGGGTCGGTCTTTGTTTTCAAATCTCAAATCTTCCGTGAAAAAAAAATTTATATACCTTTCAGAACGTCTTCCAGATAATTCGCTATTCCAATCCCGGAAATTCCTTCAAAGATTTGCTCTCACTACTTTTTGAAGGGCTGCACCAATGGATTTGGGCCATGTTCTTCTTTATCCAATTTCCTCACCACTTTTTGGATCATTTGACGGGAAGCCCCGGGTCTTCAGGCAGTACTAGCTGCCTTTTTGTACTTTGTTCATTCTTGAAAAATATAACAATAATTAACTGTTATTTTCCAAATTCTTTAATGCAACTTTTTAGGGTAGATCTGTTTTTAAGGTACCTTTCGATCGTGCCTATGTACCTTGTAGCTTATGAGACCCAAATATTACATTTTCACGTGAATTCTATTGGGTAGCATCGCGGAACTAACCGATAAGTTTAGCGCCATCAGCATTGATTAATTAGCATAAACTTGCCTAGTGCATCAATAACGCAGCGACACACAAAAAGCCAACGCTATTTTGCTTGGTATAACTGGGGGAATAATAAAGGCGTCTTCTTTTTTTCTTCGACACCACCTAGTCCCCCGGAATTGGATAATCTCGCGGATTTATTGGCAAGGGGGTGGGTGGCGGCTGAATTTTTCGCCGGCGGCGAAGCGACGGGGTCCTGGATATACCTGTGGAGGGGAGAGGTGTAAACAGGATTTTGGCGGAGTCTTGTGGGCGGATGCGTGATCGATTTTTAAGCTAAATTTTTATACATACTTTTTATATCGATCTTGGTATCGAGGTCTAAGCAGCGTCGGTCGTTTTGGGTCAAAACTACGTCCAAAAAATTGACTTTGAAGAAGCTTCGAGCGACTTTTAGGGTCTCTATTTTTCAGTATTTTTATATGTTTACATACTTTTTATATCGATTGAGGTATCGACGTTTCCACAGTTGGGTCGTTTCGCACCGAAATTTGACGTAAAACTCGTATTTTTAAAAATTGATTTTATAGGTACTTTTTAGATTTTTTAGTATTTGTCTGTATTTACTGGATTTTGTGGTTGGTTCTAAATATCCCCACCGCCTCGTCAGAATCGACTAAAGCCGTTTTTCTAAAATGCGGATGCCTGCCCCGATTCTGGGGTTCGGATTACATGGTGGAGGGATACGGGGAACATCCTCCGATTAGAAGCCGCCCCGGGACGTTCCTTGACCAAAATTTGGGGTGAAATCGATTTTTAAAGGCTGGTCTTGTATTGATTAACCTGAAAGGAATTCTATAAAATTAAGGACACCAATTTTAATGCTAAACAAAATTTATTCATCGTGGTTTTGTCTTCGGTTTCCTAGAAAAGTTATAGGTATCTGGAAGGCCCAGGAAAATCAGCATACAGCGTAAATTTTATACAAACTTAAACTACCTGCTGTATTCTTAGAGTATTAGATAAAATTCTACCATTAGAAGCACTATCTGGTTTCAAAGAAAAACCCGAACTTTGCATAGCTCCAATTTGCCGGGTTCTTCCTATTATCTATTGTTCCCCGGACAATATTAAAGCCCCCATTTTTCATGCGCTGATAGCGTTGAGGCTCTATCCACAATTTCCTAAAAAAAATGCCCGAACTTTGCATACCTCCCTCCTGCTAGGGTCATCTGATGATCTCCGTCTCTCCTCCCATCCGAACATCCAACCCCCGCTAACCTCAAGAGGCCTCGCGTTTCAGAATCTCCCGATTCCCAATCCAAATCCTGACCTCTTCTCGTCCTCGTCCTCCGCCTCCGAAAACAGGGTGCGCGACGGCCGTAGAGAGCCGGGCTTCGGAGGGGCTGTTCAGCAGTGCTTCTGGCGGGCGCGCGGATTCAATTACGGCCCACGATACATACATGCCACCCCATCTTCTGCGGGCCAGCGAGCCTGCCCAGGCCATCTGCCCTCCTTACATACACAAAAGGAAGATTTTGAAGCGGAGCGGCGTCTTTTTGAGCCGGGGCGTTTATTATTAGCTTGGTTAGGGGTGGATGGTTGGCAACATTTTCGTCGGATTTTAAACTATGAAAAACTATGAGAAACCTCCATTCTGGGCTCCGCGTCCGAATTTTACGCCCAGACGATCCGCGTCGGGGTAAATGCGGATCGCCTGACTGGGGAAAGGTTTTTGGTTGATGTTGAGGCCCACCCCCACCTTGGCCTTCCTCCCCACCCTTACTTTCCCGCCCCACCGCTTTCCACTTCCTTCCTGTGTGCACTACACACTAAACACAACCAACACCCCCACCCCTGCGATATTCGACACATCAAAACTCGCGCACATTTTCGTGGTACTTCTCGGGTCTTTTGTCCATGAGTTGAAATGTTGAGACGGGGTCAACAAGAAAATGGGCGCAGTGCGGAGAATTTTTGATTGTTTTGTCGGAAGGCGCCGGAACTATGTGATGTCGACGGTAATTTGATATTTGCTAATTTCTTGGAATGGTCTTTGACGTCAATTCATAGAGGTTGTTTAAGAAAAATTAGGCAGAACCACATTTTATATTCCGCTATTTCATGCTGATTCTTTCGAGACACTTTGGAAATTGCAAACTAAATATGCTGATTTTTTTGCAAATTCTTCCATTTCATACCGTAGTTTAAGTCCGGCTGTCCAAAAACTTCTTTTGCGGTTTTTTTTAGGTTTTTGAAGACTGAAAAACCATAGAATTCAATCTTGACGGGACTTAAATGAATTTTCATTATTTTAACGTATCGATCGTTTTCCTCCCTTTTAAACCACCAGGATTTTTCCAAACCCTTAAAAACCGCAGAATAAAATATGTGTGTTTCTCCCATCATTTTCGCACTTTTCCAGATGTGTTTTCATCCCCTGCTGCACCACCTGATCCACCCAAAATTCCATTGGCCCGTATCCGGAGATGCTTTTGAGCAATTCGCCAGGCTCCGTTTTCCACCTAGCCACCCATTTTTAGGCACGGCTAGGTGGAAAAGGGCTCGGAAGACCGGCGGCTCCACCCTCCAAAAATGGCCACATCTCATCGCTCCGCTTTGAGCGCCCGAAATATTGGGTTATTCCTCAAAGTCGTCGCATCCAGCAGAGGAGGGCTAGTGGAGGGGAGCAGACCACACCTACACGTGTGTGCCGCTTCGAGTCTGGTCTACACATGTTTTCCGGGCGACAAAAGACCTTTGTCTCGCCGGGTTCTATTTGTTTTCAAGGATTTTAAGTTCAAAAAGAAATTATGTTCTATATCTTCTACTCTTTTTTTACTTTTTCTAAGGTCATTTTTCGTCGTTATTTTACTTGGGTGTCGAATCCGACCAAACAAGGCTTTTTCGAAGTTTGCCAACTTTAAAGGACCTAGTAAGCCATAGGTATAACCCTATTGCGCCAAGCAAAAAAACTACCTTGTAAAACTGCTTTTTCGTCTATGTATTTTTAACCTATCCCATAGATTTCGGCGTTTACAGTGCATTTTTCCTCATTTTCTCATTTCGTGACCATAAGTATCTGTGGCGATGGCTTCTAGCTGTTTTAAAGGACCGCGCAACTGAAAATCATGATTTTCTACAGGTTTTGAGGCGCTCTTGACCTCGAGAAAGGATAGCTTACCATTTTACGCCTCTTTCTATTGCTTTCCAGACAATAATCTGACCTCGCAACCTTTCGGAACACTATTTTCATCCGTATTTTCTCATCTAATCCCCTTTTGGTCGGTCTCTTTGTGTGAGAAATTGGTTATCCGACCTTTCAGCCGCTTTCTTTCAGCTCGCATCTCTCATTTCCAAATTCTTGCTTTTAAACGTCGTTTTCGACGTCATTTCAAATTTCGATAACATGTATTTCCTTGACTTGCATCTCCATTTTGGTGTCTTTTTTCTTGCCTCCATGCGGTTATTCTCATCTATTGCAGCTCCTTCACACCTTTTGTATGAACGCCACTCTACCGGCTGATACGGTATGGGACTCTCCTTACAGCATGCCGACGCAGGTCAGTCATTTTTAATGATGTTTTCACCTTTAACAGAATTTCTCTGAATGTACAAAACTTCCGGAAACCCTCCTAACTTTCCAAAGATCCGTTGGCTAGTTTTTTTTGTGACCTTCTGACCCCAGAACCGGGGGATGTGCCCAAAAATTTTGTAATACGTTTATATCCGGTTATCCCTTGGCCTAGGGGGGTGTAGAACCAGGAAATGAACGCCCGCCGATTCCCCCCTTTTCCCGGATTAGTGTTTATTCCACTTTTTTGAGTTCGGCCGGGGCCTCGGGGCGAGATGTGGAATATTGAAGAGGTTTCTGGAAAAGCTCAGCTGTGGGAGGGGGAAGAGCAACTTTGCACTCGATACCTCCAAGGGGGGTTTCGCGGCACGCAAATGTATCACTGGGACTTTGAATTCGGGACGGGAAGCGCAAAATATTGAGAATTACACGATGAAATTCGAATGTCATTCAGCTCCTATTCAGCACCCTTGATATCATTTAGCTCCTACTGTCATAACTTCGAACCGAATATCCTATTCATTAATACGAGAAACCTAAAATTTGATGTTTCGAACTTCCGGTTCCTTGCGACAACCAGCAAATTTCTTCTCGATATAAACGGTAGATACGATGCATGCGTGGGCGATTTTCCACACTCAATACCCCCCTGGGAATCCGCAACTTTAAAATCTCAAAATCGGGCTGTCGTCACGGGTGCTTCTGGCCGTCCGAGGCGGCCACAAGTCCATCTGATAGCCCTTTCCTCGCCCTTGCCCTCCAGTACAACTTCCGGAATCTAGGCGCGATTTGGTGGCAGCAAAAAAAATTCAATTTTGGCCCACCCGTGGATATCAGAGGATTTGTTGATGATTTTATGATGGTATGACGGGAAGGATTTTTATTTTGTTAGATAAGAAAAGAAATAGTGGGGGACGGCACTATAATCTTAATATAGTGAACTCCCAATTATCGCGGCTCCACTCTCTCTCTCTCTCTCTCTCTCTCTCTCTCTCTCTCTATCTCTCTCTCCTCTCTCCTCTCTCTCCTTGATGTCAACCAAAGTCCCCAAAATTCCGAATAATGCCCCTGAAGAACGCCTCCTACCCCACCTGACCCACAAAAAAACAGGCAGTAAAAGCACCAAAAGCCCTTCTCTTTTACTTTTCTTTTCTGCTTCTACTTCCAGGAAAAGCCTTGATGAAAAGTGTGTCTTTTGTGGGGGAACGGCCAGAAGTTTTGGGACTTTTCCCGTTTTCTGGGGCGGGTGAATGATGATGGGGCTACATGGGGACCAGGCATCACTCAGATGAAAAGAGTAGCCCAGTGTACACAAATGATCGAATGGTTACCCAAAAATAGGGTCAATGAGGAAATGATGCCCGGGCGGAGGTGATGGAGTTAAAAGGGTATAGAAAAGTTGCGAGGAGTAGTCAGAAATAGCTAGAAGGTACCCAAACGAGTGGTACCAGCGGTGTGAATTCTAAAAATATGGAAAAGACCTTTAAGTCAAGCAAATCACGCTTCTAAGATACCAATTAAGGCATCTCCTGATGCCATTTTAGCTTTATAATAAACCCCATTTTTTCCATTATTTTCAGATTTTCGTCTGGTTGGTGGTGGTCGTTTTGAGCTTGGAGACAATCCTCGGCAACGCCATGGTCATTATGGCATACAAAATTGAGCGAAATATCAGCAAACAGGTATCATTAACATTATAATTAATTCTTGGATATACCACCGTCAACAAAATGCATCGTTTATTGCCTTTTTAGGTGAGCAACCGCTACATCGTCTCGCTGGCCATCTCGGACCTGATTATTGGTATCGAGGGCTTCCCGTTATTTACGATATATTTCCTTAATGGTAAGGGCATTAAAAATAATAAAGATATTATTAAAATAATTTTTTGGATATGTTGAATATTGCAAACCTTGATTTTGCAGGAGATCGATGGCCCCTCGGCTCTATCACCTGCGAGACGTGGCTTTTTCTCGACTACACCCTGTGCCTTGTCTCGATTTTAACCGTACTTTTAATAACAGCTGATAGGTAACAACTCCATTAATTTCCACTCTCTTAATTTAGATACCTCTCCGTCTGCCACACCGCCAAATACCTAAAGTGGCAGTCCCCAACCAAGACACAGGTACTTCCAAAGCTCCCCAGTTTTTGAAGGGTTTTTAGGTGATGATCATCTTGTCGTGGCTGATCCCTGCCGTCGTTTTCGGGATTATGATTTACGGGTGGAAGGCGATGACTGGCGAGGCAGACAGGTGAGGGAGGGGTCGATTTTTGAGGGATCTTTGAAAAATCAAACAAACTCAAATTGCAATTTTAGTGTCAACGAAAAATGGTACAAAATAGCGTAAAATCTCAGTTCTGCCCTTTTCCGGTTCTGTATAATCTTTTATATGAAAATTGAGTGGTATTGAACCTGTAGAAACTTAGCCAGAGAGCAAATAAGTTAAAAATCCCCCTTTCTTCTGTTATTTAAATGTGCCGCATTTTTGTACAGTTAATTAAGTTTGTAAATCTTCTCTTTTCTCATCACCTAAGCATACGAACTCACGGAATACGTAAAATATTTCTCAAAATTAAGTAATTTAGCATGCGAGGCTACGAGTGTTCGGCCCCCTTCCTCGCCAACCCGTATGTCAACATGGGGATGTACGTCTCCTACTACTGGACGACGCTTGTGGCGATGTTAATTTTATACAAGGTGTGCTCTCTCTCTCTCGCTCTCTCCCTCGCTCTCTCTCTCTCTCTCTTGGTTTCTCGCCCTCTCTCTCACGCGATGCAAGTGCCGAAAACTACCTCATGTCCCGATCTTTGGTCAGAATTCTATACCACTTCTACATACTTGAAGGCTTTATGCACTCGAGAAGAACACCTATCGCTCATCCAAAAACCCTCTTTACCCCTAAAAAGAGGCTTCTGGGATGATGAACTTTTCGTGCGTCACCCCACCCTCTCTACAGCCACTTGGCCAGGGGGGGAATCCGATTGGAAAACTCAGGGAATTGAAGGGGCCACTTTTGGGGAGTCAACAACAAATTTTTTAGGGCATCCACCAGGCCGCGAAGAATCTGGAGGACAAGGCCAAGGCGAAGGAACGCCGGCATATCGCGTTGATATTGAGTCAACGGTTGGGGACGCAGGTATTGCTGAAAAATCAGGGGCTACCCAAAAAGATGGAATTAACAAACTAGAGGGATTAGCTTAATTTACACGACACTATCATCCAATGTATCTAATTTTTTTTTTTTTTTTTTTTTTTTCTTCCCTCAGCCATATAAAAATTTTTTTTTTTTTTTTTTTTTTTTTTTATACTTCCAAACCCAAGCCGGATCTCTGTATTTTTAACTTTTTAACTTCTTCTAATTTTCCACATTCCCCGTCGATTCCCTACATACAGGGTGCGCCGGTCACCCCGCACTTGACGTCAGCTGCCCCACCCAAGAGAATATATAGACAAAAATGTCCTGGAAGAAGAAGGGGGTACCACCAGGTCCACATCCCAATTCAGCGTCGATCAGCCGTGCCCAAATCGGAGGCCAAATGGGCCCCCGGCTGGGCCCCAGAAAAGTTTTGGTCTGGCCTGGAGGTCTGGTGGGAGTTGGAATAAATTGTAGGGGTCGAAATAACGTGAATTATAAATTTTATCCGTGCGAACGTTTCTCGAAGGGTCTTTGCCAGACTCCGCTGAAGATGCCTAAAAAGGCTCTGCTGGTTTTTTAAAGAAATTCCTCAAATGCCCATCATTAACACCTAGTCATTAGTGTCGCAAGTTTCCCAAATATTCTTTGCTAGCTTACCCCGTCAGAATTTCGAATAAATGCTGCTAGTCTGCCTGGCAATTCCCAAATGATCCCTGCTAGCCTAGCCCTAACGCATTCGCCAAATCGCTTTCCCAGACGGCAATACAAGAAAAACCAGCTTCCCCCCCCCTGGCACCCAGATTTGGATTAGAAGCCGTTGATCTTTCTGGTAAAGGATTACGGGAATAGCAGACGCACCGAATTATAGCCCATGGTGATTCCAGAAATTGGTGGTGGAATAGGGACAATAATAAAAGCTGTCTCTTAACCCAAAATCTGGATACTTTCCAGGTCGGCGTCTCCCTGATGCTCCAACAAGACAAGGAGCGCGAGAAGAAGATGGAGCTGGTTAGAACATCAAAGTTTTCTTAGCTCAAATCACTTTAGGAAGGAGCAGAGGCCGATACGAGAGATAGCGCCTATGCCACGCAGACGACAGCCATTGTGAGTTTTCCAGCGCCGCTGCCAAAGATCAGACAAGTGGAAGGGTAGTGCCAGCAAAACAAGTCCTACCTTATATAATTTGGTCGCGTATCTTTGTGTGTGTGTGTGTGCGGAGGTCAGTTTCGAGGCTCGATTTGAGGGCCTTCCCGTGTCCAAAATGCCCTAATTCTCCGTCACCCGGGGGAATCGACCCTCCTCTTTCCGATGGCGTTTTCAGAATCCCGATAAAATATAAGTTTACAAAGTTAAAGCCGGTTTTATTGATTTTTGGGGTTCCGGCGGGCTAATTTGCATAATGTGAAAAAATACAAATTTCCTCATTCTTGCCAGTTGCACTCGCGAGTTTGGTCGTCTCTTTGGATCTGCCTCTCGATGCTTTTTCTTCCCCTGCCCCGGGCAATGCCCAAAAAGGGTTTTTGGCACGTGATGTCAAGCATTGCATGGTGTAGTGGTTAGCGCTTCGCCGTGCTAATCTTACCATCGGAGGTTCGATCCTCGGATATCGTAGTTGTTTTGCTTTTTGCTCGGAAAGGGCGTTTTGGAGTGGATTTCCGTGTGGGGACGTTATTATGAAGTTAGTCACTCAAGCCGCAGCCAATAGAATGAAGCTACCCACTCAAGCATGCGCCGCAGGCCAAGGAATCAAGCTAACTGCTCAATCCAGCGCCGCAGAGTTTGAAACGACGCTAGCCGCTGAAGCTAGCGTCGCAGGTTAATGGTTCAGGCCGGCCCCTGAAACTAGCGCCCGAAGCTCAAGCTTGCGCCGCAGGCTTAAGTATGAAGCTAACCTCACAAGCTAGCGCCGCAGGCTTTAGAACGAAGCGAGCCGCTCAAGCTAGCGCCACAGGCTTTAGAACGAAAATTAGCCGCTCAAGCTAGCGCCGCAGGCTTTAGAACGATGCGAGCCGCTCAAGCTAGCGCCGCAGGCTTTAGAACGAAGCTAGCCGCTCAAGCTAGCGCCACAGGCTTTAGAACGAAGCTAGCCGCTCAAGCTAGCGCCGCAGGCTTTAGAACGAAGCGAGCCGCTTAAGCTAGCGCCGCAGGCTTCAGAACGAAGCTAGCCGCCCAAGCTAGCGCCGCAGGCTTTAGAACGAAGCTAGCCGCCTGCCGCCCAAGGTCAGAGCTAGCCCTTCAAAATTGCGCCGCAGGTTAAGGAGGCTCAAGCTTGCGCCGCAGGCTTAAGTATGAAGCTAACCTCACAAGCTAGCGCCGCAGGCTTTAGAACGAAGCCAGCCGCTCAAGCTAGCGCCGCAGGCTTTAGAACGAAGCTAGCCGCTCAAGCCGCCCAAGGTCAGAGCTAGCCCTTCAAAATTGCGCCGCAGGTTAAGGAGGCTCAAGCTAGCGCCACAGGCTTTAGAACGAAGCTAGCCGCACAAGCTAGCGCCGCAGGCTTTAGAACGAAGCCAGCCGCTCAAGCTAGCGCCGCAGGCTTTAGAACGAAGCCAGCCGCTCAAGCTAGCGCCGCAGGCTTTAGAACGAAGCCAGCCGCTCAAACTAGCGCCGCAGGCCAAAAAAGGAAGCTAATCCCTCAAGCTTGGGCCGCAGGATGAGGTAGCGACCTAGCCGATCAAACAAGCGCCGCAGGCCTAATAACGAGACTAGCAGTTTAAGCTTGCGCTGGATGCCAATACAAAGAGATTTGCATGGGAGATGCGTTTTTCTTTCTTCAGGGTAACTGTATGTGGAAGGGCGCTCAATTCATAGGGCCTAGACGGGGTCCAGCGGGGGAGAGTCGCGAAGCGGCTCCTCCCCCGCTGGTCTGTCAATAATTTAGCGCGTAGTGATTGACGTTGAAATCGGGCGCTGGAACTTTGCCAAAAATGGGGAAGCAGTTTTCCCCGACAAAAAACTCTTCCAGCTCTCCTCCGCCAATGCCAGCGACGAATCTCGCGGCCACTTGGAGAAAATCGTGGAAGTTAGGTCACCCGAATCCACGCCAAAATCACACAAAAAACTTTGGAAGCGAAAATCCAAAGATGTGAAGGAGAATGGAACAAAGTCCAGTCGAAAAAGTCGCGGAAGTCAAGAGAGCCGGGGTAGTAAACTCTCGGAACCGACCTACAGTCGAAGGAGTAGCGCCGAGGAGACGAATACGGTAATCTGATCGCGGGTCTTAAAACCTTAAGATTTTAGAAAACAAAGACAGATCGACCGACCCTCGATCCCGAAGAAGAAGAAGAGCGAACCGATAATGAGGAGGATTCGTTGTTGGGAGAGCTCGAGAGTACGCCAAGCCGACATAATAGCCGGAACAACAACCGGAATAGTCAGAGGTATGCCTATAAACCAGATAAAACGGGTACTTTTTTAGGTCCGCCAAATCTCCAGCGATCGAGGGGAAGAGTGACTTGTCTGAAATTCCGGAGGTAAAGGCTCCTTCTGAACTCTTTAAGCAAAATTCAGGAGCGTAAGGATTCTCTCTCGCTACTCTTCAACGAGGAGGATATGTCTTCGGTGTTGAGGTTCAAGAATCCAGCATTAGCACGAGTCGACTCGATCAACGATTCCGAATGCTCTTCTTCGATTCTTCAGCTCAATAACAATAGGCGACACCGGGTGAGTGCCACACGATTATTTATCGTATCCTACGGTATCTAAAAGTAGAAGTGCTGTTTTAGAAAAGCTCCAAGAAGCGATCGGTGAGGATATGCAAACGAGTCGAAGAGTTGCGAGGCGAATCCAGGCCTATGCTACACGAGGTAATGACTTTCCATACTTTATTAAAGGGATGCCCAACCATTTCGGGGTTCAAAAAGCAAAAACCATGCCGCGGGCGGGGGTCGAACCCGGGAGCCCAGTTTTGTAGGCCCGGATGGTATCCATTAGGCCATAGTGGCTAGCCATTGCTTGGGATGGGGACGGCACAAGAGGGAAAGGGGTCCGAATTCTGTGCGGCACTGGCGCCTCATTGCCGCACAAATTTCCCGTGTCATTTGTACTGCCCGGAATACATAACTATATATTTGCCACCAAAACCTTGGGTATCCCTTTAAACGTACACTACTCCAGATTCCAAACGACGCTACCCGATTGAGTGCCTCTGAGGTGACAGCCGAGAAATTGACGCCCGATCGTGAACGATGGCTGTCGAGTATGAGAAGAAAGGTAAAGACATCAATAGCGCTCGCGCTCTCTACTTTTCGAACCTTTTAAAACTCGTCAAACTCTCCTGATTCCAATCAAGACCCCTATCTCTTCTAGCTCCCCCGTTTCATCACCCACTGGAAGGTAAGAGCGCTCGCTAGGAAATCCGGGGACCCAGAATGTGGCCTGTACCCTGGCAGTCAAATGTTTGCCCGAAATAGTCCCCGAATATGTATCGATAAAAATTACAATATCTCTCCAAAAACAGCACAAACTCTTTAGGTAGCCCGTGCCCTCGAAGGAACCCGATTTACCGCACCGCCTCGTCGACGAAGCATCAGCGAGAGCAGGTAGCTTGTGAAAAAGTTTGTAAAAGTCACTGGGTAAAAAAAATGCATTGAAACCCGGTGACTTCTACAAAGCTTTCCGCGTAGAACTGGACAGATTCCGGGCTGATCTCGCCGAAAATAAAGTGACTATAGACCGCTGCCATCAGCCCCATATAGACAGCGAAGGTATAGAAAACAAGCCGGGAGGCTTACACATCTACTCTTCGTGAACCTACATCTATCTTTCGGGTTCTCTCACTGCTCCCACTAAACCAACTTAAAACTCTGTTAACCCATCACAGATATACCTTTCGGATCACTACACTTGTCATCGCCAATCTATCTAAAAAAGACCGAAAAATCGTGCAAATGGCCAACTAGCAGCGATTCTTTCAGAGACCCTAATTCTCTAAAAAAATTCTCGCGTTTCCCTGCAGCGACGCCTTCACCCACGATATCACCCATATGTATGTAAAATAGCAAACTTCTGAAAAAATATTGTATACTACCAGTTGCACACAACAGCGGTGCCTTCTCTCAACTATCAGTTCGTTAGACAAGGGTTAGTGATAACCACGCGGTATGATGTTCAGATTCGAATCAAACACCATCAATTTGGATTCAAAAGCGTCGAATCTGGACATCATCACCAAACTAGCGTCTCCTAATGTACCCTTTTTAGTACATCCTCATCGTCTGGTGAAAATGAGGAGGATTGCGCGCGAAAAGCCGCTTCTGCCTCGCCGCCCAGGGACAAGGAGCCGAAGCACTTGATGGCGGTTGCAGGGCATACTCATTCTACGTTACTTTCCCCTGGACAGTAAGTTAGAGTACGTCAAAGAGCAAAAAACTACGTCAATTAACGAACGACAAATCAATAAAACATTTAGACAAGCCCGAAAAGGCTCGACGTTCTCGATCGTCAACCGTGAACGGGTGATAAACTCAATATTCTCGCCCGTATCGTTTTTCAACAAGCGCCGAAAGCAGACGAAAGCTGAGAAAAGGGCTCACAAGGTATCAAATCCAAAATTAACCAAAGATTAACACAATTTTTCAGGCTTTCCGTACGATCACCTTTATCGTCGGCTGTTTCGCCATTTTGTGGTCACCGTATTACGTTATGGTAAGTGTAAATCTAAAAGCCCCAGGAAGCAAAGTTCTAGTAAAAATGGTAAGCAGTTACTTAAAAACAATGAGTTCGAACTTGTCATGCCGTATTTTTCAGCTTTTCCGGCATTCTTACAATATTTTTAGGCGACCATCTACGGGTTCTGCAAGGGAGAGTGCATACCATCGCTGCTCTACACCCTCTCCTATTATATGTGCTATTTGAATAGCAGGTTTGAAAGATAAGTAAGAAGAAAATTAAAGTACGATTTTAGCGGTAACCCATTCGCCTACGCGCTTGCCAACCGGCAGTTCCGTTCGGCGTTTATGAGAATGTTGAAGGGCGATTTCAACCCCAGGCGATGACAAATCAAAAACTAGCCCGAAGTTTTTTGAATGCATCGGAAAACGCTAAGTTGATCGTCGCGGAGAGTTCAGCTATTTTAAAATTTAACCGAGACTTTTAGAATTCAGAATTGGGCATATTTGTTTTGAAACCACTTCTGTTACACCTAATTAAATTATAAATTCAAAATAGGCCGTTCAAACTTCTGGTCATTTTGCAGATGCATTCAAAAATTACTTTTTCTTCTCACGGGTCGATTGATCTCCATACCCTCGGTTTTGCCAAAATCCCATCCCCTAAATCACATATCGGAGATCAATTTTTAAATCACTTCTAAAGAAATATTTATTTTTTTATTTTCTTCGCCCCGAACAGCTGTCTGTGCCAAAAATATTATTACGGTTATTCCCCGACCCCGAGATTCCCAGTAGCCCATTCGCATGCAATTTCCCCTCAAGCGCTTTATCAGCCAACTAATAAATATTTATCACAAGTATCACTCACTACCAATCACACATGTTGCACGAGAGATAAAGGTATTACAAACCCAAGGGATTAGAGCTATTACACCATGAAAATGCACACGATTCTGGGGGAAAATATCACAGCCGAAGAAAGGTCAATAAATATGTATAAGGCTCCCGGGAATTAAAGTGAGGGTACAGAAGGCAGGGGAAAATAGGGGAATAAGCGAAAAGGGAATGCCGCTTAAGCGCGAAAAACATATCATTTCAAGAGTTCTTTCACTTCCTCGGGGGTTTTGTGGGGTAGTTCGCCGTATCCGTTGGCAGGGTCCTCGATTTTGCGAACGATCACCGAATAGGCGGCCACAACATTTTCCGCGGTTCGTTGGGCGATGGATTCCCTAAAAAAATACAAAAAATCAGATATATTTAAGAGGAAAGTACCGAATTCTCGTGCTGCTGACACGCGCAATCAGGTCCAGGCGGAAGCGGTCAGCGTGGGCCAAGAAGTTGTCGAATGAGCTGATGGCCGAGGCGAGGGCGGCGGCGTCGAGGCCAGGGATCGCTGACATTGGGCCCTAAAAAGCATAAAGAATATTAAAATAGCGTAAAAATAATATTAAAACACATGTAAATCAAAATATTCATACTTGCTGTGTCGTATGGGCGGCTGCCTTCTGGTAGATGACCGAGAGTGACGTATTCGTGAGGATCGCTGAAGACTCTTCGGAGACGAGCACGTCCTCATTTCCTTCAATCTGAAAGAGTATGAATTTGCTCATTTCTACCTCTTTCTTAATTTGATATTTCTGTTTTGGGATTCTATAAAGGCTCACCAACGCGCGCAGCATTTCCAACCGCTCGTCCGTGTATTGGTACAGCATCACAGAGCTCTAAAGAATAACGAAATCTGGCTAATTGTAATAAAACCAACCTGGATGACAGAAAGGCAATTCAAAGTGTAGACAGCGACGTCAAGCCCGGACGCCAATTGTGTGGCTACCAGCTGAACGGACCGAAGAAGCGGGTCCAAAATACATGCGAAAATCTAAAAATTTTTGATCGTAATTCTTCTTTTTTTTACCTGTGCAAACTGCTCTTTCGGATTCTCGACAGTCATGGCCCCGTTGTGCGTGTCGAGGACGTCTTTTAGCAAATTGAGCAGCTGCTGGACGGCCGGAACTGGGAGTAAATCGTAGTCGGGTGGGCCCATCTAGCAAATACAAAATAACGATAAATTACGGTAACAAACCCGGTTCAAGATGCGTTGAACTGTCGTGGTCAGGCCGGACATGAAGATGTTCGTGGCCAGCTCTTGCAACTCGCGAATGCTTTGGCAGAGCTCGGACGTATCACCGGTTAGTGTCCTAAAAATCTTTATAATTTGTTTTTCGGGCACCTACGCAAATTTCGACAAGTAGAAACCGAAAAGTCCCTTGACCTTGTAGACGGTGACCGCATCCGCTTCTCCGGAACCCAACGATTGCTCGACACGCACCTATGCCCCGCGAATTCCATAAAGTTTTCAAAAATACCTTAAAAGGCCGGCACAACGAGCTGGAGACCTGGGAGAGCACATCGATTGTAGAATTCACTAAATTTCCAATTTAGAACAACAACAAAACCAAAAAAAACCTTCAGATCGGCAATTTTTCAAAAGCCCCGCCAGAAGGTCGCGCTCATTTTCGATGGCTTGATACATCCAGGCCAGCATGTCCCCGACGTAGCGCAGCGGCTCGTGGCTAAACCCAATCCGGGTATTCAAAAACTGAAACAGATTACCTCAGCATTTCTATCGGCTTTCCGCCATTCCCACCGCGGGTCAGTGCTTCCAAGTAGATTCTGAAGACCATATCATAAATCATAAATTCATTCAAACACGTAAATATGATTATATCATAAATTCATTCAAACACGTACCGCAAAATTTGATTCTTCCTCGACAGCGCAAATTCGTCCAAGGCGTACTTGAACAAGACTTCTCTAGACCATAAATTTGTCAGTTAAAAATGGAAGCTATTTACCTCTCTTGCAAGGCGGAAAACGATTGGATGAGAATCGGCTTAATATCGGTGAAATCACTGGTGAGAAGACGGCATTCACCTAAAAAAAATGATTTGAGACTTAGGACGTCTCATACGTTGAATGGATCGATAGAGGACCTCGTAGGCTTTTTCCAGCCGGCTTGACATGTCTTCCATAACCTAAAAGAGCCTATTTTGAAAGAAAATGCTAAATATACCTCCAAAGCTGCCACGTGTTCATTCGACGTGCGCACCAGTTGCTTGCTCTCATTGTAGATCTGCTGCACATGCTCGAGGGCCAGGAAGAAGTCGGGCGAGACGGTACCATCTAAAAAATGACTCCGCCAAAAACTCGCTAAATTATACCATTTTGATCGCCGACAAGCGCCCGCTGTTCTTTTTCAGTCAAAGAGAATTTGTCCAAGAATTCGTTGACGATTGAAGCCTTTGCTTCCAAAAGCGTCCTAAAGCAGTACATTCGTGCACTGATCTTCGCTTACATTTTTGATCGAATCGCATTGGTTTGCGCTAAAAAGTGCTCCGTTTTCTCCTTATTTTCGGCTATCGTCTTCGTCAGCACATCACAGAGCCCGCGCATTTGCTGGGCCTTCGAGTGGATTTCTTGGACTCTGGTGTTCAACTAAACCAAAATTTTTGTGGCACGCCTATTTATACCTTATGCAGATGATCCAGCTTGTTTCCATATTTAGCCAACAGAGCTTCATCCATCGTGCGCTCGTAGGCGATCGGTGAGGTGAGCGGGTGAAATTCGGTGGGAAGCGGCAAATGGCGGACGACCGCGAGGGCTTCTTGATAGAGCTCGGCCTCACGTTGGAATTCCTGAGAAACACATAACAATTTTTGAATTAGAGCCATACCTCGTCTTTGAAATCCACTTTCTTACACGCCGAAATGATCGATTCCACCTTCTCCATCAGCGGATCCGATGGCCGCGCCCTGGCTGGTGGGGCTGACATCACACCAAGCTTCTGAAATTTATTCTTGTACTAAAATTTGGATCTTTGGCAAGAAAATGAATGTGAGATGATCAAGTGAATCTGAGAATGCATGAATATCCACAACCAGGCTAGGGCAGCCAATAGCTCTAAATTTCTAACAAAGCTAATCACAATTTTATAGCTACGTTTTGTACATTTTGTGATCTTCATGCCTAGATTCCGTAGTCCCTAAACTTGCGCACTAGTGGCGTTTCATAGCGTTCACCAGGTTCTCTAAAATTATCGTGTATGTTAGTCTCTGCAGGTTTGTTTATTTCAACCATTTGTTGCTTTGGTGCAGCGGCCCAATGCAAAGATTGTCTAATCGCCTCCTGGTTTCTAGCAAACTCCTCAAAATCGTATGGTAGGGGAGAATCTAACCAAAGCTCATAAATTCTTCGTTTCGCGGGGTCGGCGAGGGTTTCGTAAGCTGTTTTGAGTCGGACAAATGCATCATTATCTGCAGTAGCATCAGTAGTTTTGTCAGGATGAAGATCACGAGCTTTTGCGCGATATTCAGCGGTGATTTGTTCGGTGGTCGAGTTTCGGCTACAGCCAAGAATTTCATATAGCTCGGGCGCCTTTTTATTAGCACCGGAGAGAATTGAATCTACGACGGATTCCATCCTGGAACGGATTAAAAAAATTTCTGGTTATTTGGATGCGATTTACATGTTATTGATACTACTAATGCTTTGCTGGGGATATTTGCGGTTTAAAACCCGTCGTGAACAGAACACTGAACAATGTCCCTGGCATAAATTTATCGGATTCGCAGAAACTCAAAGTGGGAAAATTTTGAACCGGAAACGGAGATGAAATGGAATAACGGGCTTTGGGGGAAACGCGTCAGTGGCACCAATGAATTTAACAATTTAGAACCTGAACGAAACTAGGAATGAGTAAACCAGTCATCAAAAATTAGGGAGATTTGCTGAAAACAATATTTGCAGATTTTGTTAAAAATGGGTGAGAACGGAGGGATGGCCTAAAGACGAAGGGACAGAAGAAATACGTAACCTTGAGCTTAGCAAATCGGCACGTGGGAGAAGAGGTAGGAGACCGATTCGCCGTTGTGGGTACGGCGGATGGCCTCGGCGAGGATCATAGAGATGTCGATGCACTGGATCTTGGGGCATTTCTTCATGTTCTCCTCCTGCGGGATGGTGTTGGTGACGACAACAGCCTCGAAGGCAGAGTTGTTGAGGCGCTGCAGAGCGGGCCCCGAGAAGATGCCGTGGACGCAGAAGGCGTACACCTGAAAAACAGCATAGTAAAAAGTCAATTCATGAGCGATAAAACTTTTCAAATAATAACTACCTTATCCGCGCCAGCCTCCACCAGCTTGTCGGCGGCCAAACAGATCGTACCGCAAGTGTCAGCCATGTCATCAACTAGAATGGCGACCTTCTCGGCGACGTTGCCGACCAAAGTCATCTTCTCAACCTCGTTGGCGCGCTTACGCTCCTGAAAAAAAAACTATATAATAACCGAAAGCAAAATACTGACCTTGTGAATAAGTGCAAACTCGACGTTGAGCCGATCGGCCATCGAGGTGACACGTTTGGCTCCTCCGGCATCCGGGGAAACGATGACCGACGACTGCCAGTTGGGGGATCGACTCGCGGATGTACTTGAGGATGGCCGGCTCGGCGTAGAGGTTGTCCACCGGAATGTCGAAGAAACCCTGGATCTGTGAAGCGTGGAGGTCCATCGTGATGATGTGATCGGCGCCTGAAAAGAGATAATAAACTTAGGACTGCAGGGAATCCAGTAATGCAACACCTAACTATCCAAAAACTCACCAGCAACTGACAGCATATTGGCGACAAGCTTGGCCGAGATCGGGGCACGAGACTTGTCCTTCTTGTCCTGACGAGCGTACGGGAAGCACGGGATGACGGCGGCAACGCGAGATGATGAAGCTATCTTGCACGCGTTTATCATGATGAGCAGCTCCATCAGGTTGTCATTGATTTCACCACAAGCCGATTGGATGATGAAGACATCTTCGCCACGAACCTACAAAACAAAATTATGAAAATTTTCACTCAAAAAACAGACTTCTCACTATCAAAAAAAGAAACCTACCGATTCCCCAATCTCCACATTCGTTTCGCGGTTCGAGAACTTCTTCAGCGAGGCCTTGCTGACGTCGAGCTGCAGCCGGTCGCAGATGCGGGCAGCCAACTCTGGGTGGGATGAGCCGGAGAAGATCTTGATGTTCGGCATCCTGGGCTTGTTGGCTTTGTCCGTGTCCTCCTTGACCGTCTCCGTCTCCAGATCCCTGGAAAAGGCGAATTGGTTTGGCGAAGTAGCAAAGGGAAACAAAAAAGTAACGGGGAGGAATAAGCTGGTAAGATTAGTGACCAGAACCCCGCCGAGGCTGAAAAACGCAAATCTCAGGGAGTTATACGAGTGGATCAAGGAAAACAGATAAAAGTATAACCTTAGGGTTCATAACAATGTTTTACTCTGTTAGAGTCTAAAAACAAAACCCAGAGAGTGTCTGTCCCGGTGGGCGGGCTACGCCGGGCTCCAAACTACGGCGGGCGGATAGCCAGGCCTCTCGTGGCAAAACTGGGGATGAAGCTGAAGATTTGCCGAAAGATTACTATTTTTCAGTGAATGAAGGGGATTACGGGAATATTGTTTTTTCTATAATTAACCTACAGACGCATGGAAAAACGAAAAGCCAAGACTAGACCAGTGCCGTTTCTAACCGACATCAAAAGGAAAAAATCAGCTTTTATTTTTCAAAAAACAACGATCCAGGCACCTATTTTCTTGTAAAGCCATGACCGGAAATCAACGGGGCGCATGCTAGCAAGGCGAAAACATTTGTATGCCCTCGTACTGGACCCATAGCAACGCAAAAAAAATGTTTTCCAGAGATTTTCCAAGCTGACTCATGTTTTTTTCATTGGCCATCTTGTCGCCGTATAAAAAAATGTTTTGACTGGTGGGCAGCTAGACGCAACGTGCCTGACCCAGACGGCCTGGCGTCTGAAGCAATAAAGCTTGAACGCTATCGGGGTAGATAAATAATTGGGTCGTAGTAGTAGTGGGGTATGTGGGGTAATCCTGGGATACAAGATAGTGTCTTCCAAATGACGTCAACGGGGTTCAAAGTGCAAAGATCGCGAGAGTTTGGGATTTGATTGATTGGGGTCAGGTCGCAGATAGCAGGGTTTGGTGTTTTGAGCTTTGAAACTTGGCGTTAGATTGGTGCCAATCGCGGCCAGAAACTAGTTTTTGGGTACTTTCATATTTATGGTATTAAATAAAGTAGCCAATTTTGTTAATCATTATGTAGTTTGAGCGAATTTTTCGAGTATATAGGACTGGCTTTATGGTCTTGGCGTTCGCTTTGAACTCAAGAATGGCCATCAGAAACTTCAAACACTTTCCTATATAACTCATTTAAAGCGCTATTTTTACTTATCATTACTGCTTTCAAATTTCAAATGTTTTTGAGAGATCCTGAAAAATAACTGTTTATTAGTTACCCGCTTGCAAGGCTAGGTTCACTGCACTTTCAGGAAATTAAATTCGGGCACGGAGCGAAAAGGACTTAGTACAAAATATAAAAATCGAAAAAAGGCATGGCAATTTGAATCCAGGGGCCGGGTGGTCATCTAGTTGCGAATGTGTGGGAATGCGATAAGAGGGGAGGGGTGGGCGGGGAAGGCAGATGAAGAGGGGTAGGGCACGCAGATAAGAAAAACGAAGGGGCTACTAATTCGAGAAAAGCGGAATTATGGACTGAGTGGGCAACGAGGGGAATAAGATAATCACAGGGTGCAAAGTTTTGGCATGTGAGCCCGGGATATATGATATGATTATTGTTTTCTTTATTCTTTGGTCCGGTGAGTACGGAGTCTGAGCGGCACGCGTTCGCACGGGTCGAGCATGGAAATCATTTGGGGTAGGAGGACTAGGCCGTGGAAAAGGCCGATGATGTTCACCAGCCAGACGGTCTGAAATAAGTTATTTTGGCGTTGAATTTCATAAGTCGTTGTAATAACTAAATTAAAAATAGCTTTTCACGCTAGCAACATCTGGCTGTGCTTTTTTTTTGACATAATACGCTTTAATCTTTTTGCATACCTGGAAAAACACTCGAATAAGATAGGCCGGGACCACGATCAGGCAAACAGTGGCTGATAGCGTAGATCCGACGGCCTGCATAATTGGCCAGGCGACGGAGGCCAGCGTGTCTTTCACCTAAACCAAATTTTCTTATATTTTTTTAACGTTATCTTTGAATTCTCGGGTCATTTTTATCGAGTAATCGATTTAATGCATCTGACTATATAATTTCGTATTTGCACTGAAAGAGCGTATATCGGGTTCTGCGGCCGTGCTTGTCCAAGAAACGCCGAGGGATTTCCCGGTCTTTTCCGGTGGCCCGAGCACTTTGACCACAGCCACCCGTTTTTCCTCGCAATGCCAAAATATCGACCTTTTCGTCGGCACGCCGGACCTCCGATCGGTGATAGCGATAGCAGATGTGGATGGAATAGTCGACGGCTAGACCGATGGCCATTACGATGCAGCCCATTGACACTGAAAATTGGCGGTTATTTCCGGAAATTATAGCTTTTTTCAGTGGGAAATATGATTTCCCAGCTTGATTTGTTAAAAAAAATATAGAAACATTCACAGAAACACAGGTTGCTCTTCTAAACTTGGTTCTAACCACTTACCAGAGTCTAAATCCGAGCCTGCAAGGGCAAGTCCACCGCAGACACCCATGGAGATTGAGAGCAGTGACCAGGTCATGATGAAAACGGATTGCTGAAAAATAGGTTAAAGTAAATTTTGAACGCCATTTCTCAAGCGTTATCTAGTACTTTCTAGCCGATGATGCTATTTTTTGTTAAAGACATCTGGATGATTCACACGATTTCCCAGGCCTCGATCGACATTAGTCGTCAAACGGCTCTTTGTCTGAGCCGCCGTTGCACTGTAAGAGACGCACTCTAACGGCCAGACTGGCAATAGACCCAAAAGCTGGCGGACCGACGACTGTACTCAAAAAAGTATATCTATCGATTATACCAAATTCCGATGTGACGATGACGTCTCTATTAACATACCGCATCAGGCAGGAAGAAGAAGCAGATGATCTGCATCACCAAAAGCGCGCAACCGACAGTCTGCATAGTTGAGGGAGCGATCGTTCGGCGCTGATCGATTAGGAAGGGACTAAAATCGTCTGATAAAATAAGTAAGGTACATAGGGCATAGATAGAGGTTTATCAGTATGTACAGAAAATTCGTAACTATTTGATCCAACCTGAAAATGCCGGCCAAAAAGATGTCAAATTCAGGGTACTCCGAGATAATTTCTCGCCAGTGGAACAGCTCGGATTGTCGTTTGTCCCAGGAGTTCAGGCCGTAGAATGAGGTCTCAAACGGGCTCTTGTGTTTTTAAAGTGCCCACTCATACCTGGAAAGAGAAGGCGGTAATGCAAGGCTCGTTTCCGGTAGCATTGCTGTTGATCTTGACCTTGTCTATAAAGAAAACTTAATAATTTCCAAGGACTTATACCTCTGTACTGCACATAGTCCATCTGGTTGAAAAAGTTCTTCATGTGCTCCTTGCTGTAGAACTCGTTATAGCCAATCTCCGGGAAGTCGTTGAGGTAATTTTGATATTCCCAGATCCACAGGTTCGTAGATACCTAACCATTCTGATACAAAAATACTTCCCATACGCACTTACACGTCCGATGGAGTAGTTGGTGTGCTCGAGTCGGAAGACTAGTTCATTGAACTTTGCTCTTTGGGTGGCATCACGGAGGTCAGGTGGGTTCATGACGTGGAATGAGGGCATGACGTTGTCGGCCCAGATGTATTTGTCTAAATAATTAGGGTTCGTTCCGCTTTGGTAGCTTATTTTCGTGAGTAAGTAAGTAAGAATAGTAACTTACCAGCCAGCCTGACGAACGTCTGAATTGGCGAGTTGTCACGAATGTATTTGACTGGCGAGATATCGACCTAGAAAAATAGATTTTTATTTATAAAAGTGCTTTTCTAACCGCCCATTTCCTAAATGTATCGCTGTATTACGTTAACATACCCTCAATATACAACATCCGTACATGCCAAGGGCAGCGTAGATAGCGAAAATGGCCCAAGAGGCGACCTTCACGTCCTTTCTCAAAATGAACGGAGCGTAGACGTCACGGAACCAGCGGTGCATGTAGGGAACTAAAAGTATCAACTGTACGTTCCACACCAATTAACTCACTATTTGCGGCCTTCGCGTGGTGGTTAGGGTCGATATCATCGGAATCGACCGAGTCGTCTGAACATTCTTGCGACTCTGCTCCACCCTAAAAACGACATCAAGACTTTTTAGCTTTTAGGATAGCCAGCGCGTCAACTTCATTAGATACCTAAACTTCGTTAACCTCGTTAACTTACAGCTTCAATGGCCTTGGGCAGAATACAAGGGCAGCAGCAACCACAACGCGTGTAGCAGCACATCGAAAGCCCTCCATGCTTCTCATTCCGCCCGGAGAGCGTGATGACGGCGGCGAAGAAGGTGATCTAAATGCCTTTATCTTAATTCGCGCTGCGGTTGCTCACCTGCATGATGTAGTCGAAGATGACTCCAACGGAAGTAATCAAGCAGAACTCGGCGACGGCCGGCGTAGAGCAGAGGTAGTATCCGAGGCCTGAATTTACAAATTAACAGCGTTAGGACTTGGATCCTAAGTATCGATCTGAACGCACCGAAGCAGAAGAAGTTGGTGAACGAAGTAAAAGTGATCGAAGCCCCAGCATCGGCCATCACCAACGCAACTCTCCTCCTAACCGACATCTTTGGATCCAACTCTCGCCAAGCGGCCATCATGAGGAAATCGTCGTCCACACCTGAATCATATAACGATAAGTTGAATTTGTTCCGTGACAGACCTATAGCCAAAATCAAGAACGGCATGGTTGAGGTGACCGGGTTGAACTTGACGCCACAGGCGAAGAAGATGCCGAAGGTTTGGATGAGGGCAAAGATAATGCACCACACCCCCATGCACATCTCCAGCGGTTTGTTTCTAGAAATTGAGGGGCTAGGACTGTTCTGGGTAGAAATAAAATATGGATGGCATTAGACTTACTTCCTAATGTTGGTACTCCAGTTGGCGAAAATCACGAAGAGGGTCAGACAGACGGTCGATGGGAAAGCATAGGGTACGACGGCCCAGATAATTTTCAACATTTCATCGTCCATGGCGCGTTCACTAAACGCGTGTAGCAGCACTTTGAAATAAAGCTCTTACTTGTGAGCCACGAAGGTAAAACCGCTCTCCTCTTCTTTGGAACTCCAGAACTCGTTGAGTTTGTCGCGGAAGATAGAGTAAGCCTGGAATTTCGACCTTGTAGGTATTTTATGTATTTTTCACTTTTTAGCGATATTTCTCACGATAAAAACATACGTCATTGTATTTCGGGGTATTCGGGAACGTGATAAACCAATGAATCGTCAGCACTCGAGCGCCGATAATCTCGTTCTTCTCGCCGACCACATCCACACCGTAAATAACCTAAAATTAAGAATGTTACTTTACGTTTTTAGTGAACAATTGAATATTTTCGTTACATTCCCCCTTCTTTAAAAAAATTTCCAGGCTGCCACTCGCTTTGGGGACGCCCAGCTAGGCTCCGCCCCCTCGGCAGACAGGCCCCACTCCCACTCCCCACGCCAGCGGTCTCGTGGTGTAGTGGTTATCACATCTGTCTAACACACAGAAGGTCGGCGGTTCGATCCCGCCCGAGATCATTTTGCATTTTGTCTTTTTGCTTTTTGGATGGGACCTCATCGGAAGGGTGTTACTGACATTTCCGATGTCCTTCGGCCGGTTGAAGAGGTACATAACGGGATATGAGAGCTGGAGGTTGGGGTTGTTGCGAATTTTTCCATCCTTGAAGAGGGTGTCGGCGTGCTTTAGCCAGACGTTTAGGTTGTTGTTGCACTTCTAAAAAACGTTGTGAATTTTTGGATGGCAGAATTACCGTATCCTTAGCCTCTTTTCGGCAAAAGTCTTCGAGATCAAACTTTTCTTCACCGCTCATGGCCTAAATTTTTTAGTAAAAGGAGCAGAATTCGACTACCGTAGTGCTCATCATCTCGTTCGTGTATTTCCACAGTAATCCAAGGTATTTCGATTGGAGCAGGTTGTCAAAGTCCTTGTGGATGACGTAGAAGCGGAGGATGTCGTTTTTGAGGCCGTGGACTGGAATAACGCTAGTTAGCGTGGATTTAGTTTTGGGTTAAAAATAGCTATTAGCGTCGAAAGCGGTGCTGTATTTTCATAAAAGCTACGTGGTTTTAATTGTTTAATAATGGCAGGTTATGCGAGGCTTTTCTCTTGTCGGAAAGCGAGTTATTTTGGAGCTTGATTTCACAGCAACGCAAAAATGAATGCTGCTGGCGCTGTCTTAGGGTAAAAATATTTTTTATCTATCAAAAAACTAAAGAATGGCCCCCAGGCCCTGTTTTCCATTCCCAATAATGCTTTCAAACGCTACTACGAGATGCCCTGAACTAAAAACAACTTAATAAAAACCAAATATACTACGCTATTAAAAACTGCGTCGAACTAAACGACAGTCATGCAAAGCCATTCACCAGTCGCATCATTCTTTGCGCGCTGCTGGCGCTTCTTCTTGCCGGCATTCGTTTTACGTTTTGGGGCCGGGTCGACAATGTCGCGACGGCTGCGGAGTGAAGCCTCGGAATGATGGCCGGTGAAGTTGAGCTTGTGGATGTCGTTCAGCTGCGAGAAGTCGGTGGCTCGCTGGATTCGGGCGGATGCTAAAAACGACCTTGATATCGAGGTGTCGATTCGTAACATACCCTTCTTGATACTTCCAGGTCCAAAACTAAAATTGTCCAAATCCCAGGACCATTCCTCTCCGGCTTCTCGTTTGCTTCTGGGTGGCGCTTGGGTAGTTGTAGGTACTACTCCATCACCAAAATCGCCAGCAGGGATTCGGTTAAATTCCTTAAAAACGTACGTCTAAGTATATTTTTATTGAGCTGCTACTTAATCCATCATTTTCTTACCTGCTGCCGCTCGAATTCTATCCTCACTGGAGCGTCAGTCGGCACGAAAAGCTTATACAAATCGAGATTCATATCGAGTCTGGCGAATCCGGGCAGGCACATGAGGGTGAAGATCTGGGATCAGCAGGCGTATCAAATTTTTAGACCTTCAAACTTACAATGGAGCCCCAGAGGAAGTATTTGGGATGCTTGCCAACAAGTAGACCATAGCTGAAAAACGCATGATTGAAAAAGTCTGGATTCAATACTTGTAAAAAAGCCGGACCATCCCATCCTCCATCGCCCGGCCATAGTGGGACAAGCATGAGGACATGGTCCTGAAACATGTTAAAATTTGAAAGATATTTGAAAAGAGTTAAAATCAATTAGAAGTTGGAAAAGAGTTAAAAAGGCGAAAAAATGGCAAAAGTGCAGAAAGTCATTTAATGCGCGTAGACTCGAAAACTATTTGGTTGAAACATGGAAATTAAGCATATACTTAAACCTTTAAAGCAAGGAAAGATGGAAGGTTTACACAATTTTACAGTACACTGTCTAACGTCACTTTCGTGGTCTCCGGGTAAGTTTATGCGCATTTAGACAACTCAAACAAGTTCTTCTTTCATGACTCATAGGGCATAAATTGGCAGCCGAAAGTCTGACCCTCGTCGTCTAGGGGAAAGCACATCAGCAGAAGGCGAAACTGGGTCAAAGCGTACGGAAAGAGGGGGGGGAGCAAGTGAACGAGTAAGGCGTTTTGGGAGGAAAGGAGAAAGGACGGTGGATACGCCGTTTAGCCATCGACGGTGAGGCGATTAGGGCTGGATTTGTCGATGGGAATGTGGCGGAGTCGGTGGGCTCTTTGAGCGCGAGAATAAGCATAATTTAAAGGCGGATGGGCACCTGGGAGCCATTGGTATCGATAGGCCTTTTAAGCAATTGCAGAAGTGCACATTAGACACCAAGAATAATACCATTTGATCACTTAGAGATTAAAATACAAAGAATTACCCGTGGTTCTGCCCGTTTTAAAGGGGCAGGTAAGGCATCCCTACGGATTTTGCGTCTGTGAACTTCTTATGAATTTTTACACCCCCGCGATGCGCAACTCGCCAACCGCTAAACCGTTTTGAAGAAGTCGTAACGGATTACGCAATAAAAAAATCCTGCGCGCACGTTGCCTATCGCGATTGCGCAAAAAATCAATCCACGGGAAGATCATAGCCAGTTCTATTGATGCCTTACGCGTCGCTTTAGAGATATTTAGACGCCTACAAAACTCGGTTCAATCGGGTTTCAGGACTTCCGGAAGTGTAATGTAAACGACTACGTCAGATAGTTTTCTATTTAAAATAAATTCATTGTAACATAAATTAAAATTCGATCGATCAATACCAACCCGGCGCCATCGTACCAAAAATGCCACCCAAAGATCGCAATCCACGCGCACCCAAGCTAATAGGAAAAACGGCTAGACAGGGCTAGGAATGGCTGCTCTGCCGGGGGCAAAGCTTCGACCGGAGTGTATTTAGATGGGAGCAAGGCCCGGTTTGCGACTTCTTCCTCCCCCCTCCAAATTCGCCACCACCCGCCACTCCGGCATACACCTCCTCCTCCTTATAGCCGGTCGGGATCAATTCGGGAAAGAAGCCAGGGGATAGACCATTTAGCCATCCCCCCTCCCCATTCACGTATCCATTCCGGAATGCCCTCCGGGGAGTGCAAGATACATGGAGTTCTGATATCGGGGAGCTTGTCAACGGACTGAAGGCTAAGTAAAGAGCTTTCACAACATTTTTCTGATTTTGTACGTAGCCACAAATCATAGTTTTGACGGGTGCCTGATTCACCGGCCAAAAGGAAGAAGCTGAGAGGATTTCAAAACCCGGGCTCAAGGCGTCAGAAACTGGATCGAAAGTGGAACCAAAAACTGTTGGGAACGCGGGAGGTCGGAAATGGAAAATCCTTGAGAGCTCAGGCAAAGCTAAGCCCAAAGCTTGTTTGGCAGACGATGAATGAAGGCCGACCGGCTTTTGAGAATATTGTATTACTGCAGAAATTCAATGGGTTGGCTACAAAGCAGAAAATTCCTCCGCAGCGTTGCACGCCAGAACAAAAATCGGAAAAATCATACGGGAAACTTCGGCAGTTTTTTGAAAAACTAATAATTTTGGAAAAATTGAAGTTGCTTAAGTGGAGTAGGAGGATCTGAATTTAAGAAAATTTCAACTGGTATTACTGTAACGACTACACCTAGTTGCTATACTGTTATACCTCTCGCTTTATGTGGTAATCGTCAGGTCAAAGCTTAAGAAACTTCAAAGGCAAAAAGGCGAAAATGCTATCGGCCGGTGGCTAATTTCTAAATAAGTGTCTACGGTGCAGAATAAACCTCATAAGTCGCCTACTGCTACTATAAAACTTATAAGACCTGATTTACCATTAAGAACGGCAGAATTGAGGACTTAGAAATAGCATAAAAGCTGAACCAACAGAAATGAGGCACACCCTATTTGCAACATGTTGCTACCCCTAAACAAAAAGAAAGTGACGAGTGGCCTGCGGGTGCTAGACGAGAAGTGAGAACGTCGAGGAAATGGATGGGGCTATTGGTGAAATCCAGGTCTGCGGCTGGGATTTCTCGGCGCGCGCCCGCTTCCTCCCCCCCTTACAGCCCTTCAACCCCCCACAGCCACTGGGCTTGGCTAGCTGCGAAAGATGTGGGTCAGTGGCGGACTATCAAGCCATTCCTCTCGTTCGCTCATCCACCATTCCACCCTCATCCACACAACCCGATGAGGCGGCAAATCCGGGTTTTTCGCTTCCACGCGAGAACCCGCGGATCCCGCGGATTGGTTGATAAAAACTGAACGTACGTGTGGGGGAGGTGTTGCTTAGAAAAAGTGTAGTTTATGAGCTGTCCTTCCATGGCTTTTAATAGTAACCTAACCGGCGTCAGTAACGCAATAAAACGTTGAACATAAAATTTTCTAGTGGGTTTTATGTACTTTCACGATATTCGCATGTCAAATTATTCAAAAACCTATTTCCTCATTATAATGGCAAGCAGAAATGAGAAAATCAGTCGAGCGCACATGGTACAGGCGCGCAAAGCAGCGTTGCGTAGTGCTTACCAAGCTTTAATCGCGGCGATCGCGATTTTTTAGATCATACCTTTACTTAGCATCCGGACCATGGGATATTAAGTGTGCAACAATAATTTAAGGCAAATATATATTTTCGATATGTAAAAAATCAAGAATTCGGGTCCATTTTCGAGTTCAACAACCAAACAATGTTGTCGACGACCGTCTCCACCGACTTGTCCCCGTGGTTTTCGATGACGAACGTGTTGGGCTCGCCTATAAAGAGAATCCCCGATAAACCAAATAAAAACATTAATTATCTTGAAATATACGATCGATAAGGTAAGAAAACTAACCAGTCGGGTCTTCTAACGTGTCGAGCTGCGAGTCCAACAGGGTCGCCGGCATAAAATGGCCGACTCGATTTTTCAGCCGATGAAGCAGCACATTTCTAAATTCAGGTTTAATTCAGGTTGGACGCATAAGAAAAACTCTTTTTTTTAAATCCTTACTTGTCCACTTTCAAGAAAATAAAGGCCGCGTCAAGGTCCTTGCGCAACGCTTCGCGATACGTACGCTTCAAGGCCGAACAGGTGAGTACAGAATCTAAAAAATCTGTTTATTTAGCAAATTTTTGTTACTGGGATGTTTCAAAGCATATTCGTGAATCTCGCTGAGCCAGGGCCTACGATCCTCATCAGTCAGGGGGCGGCCTAAAAAAAACATTGAAAATCGTTTTTTGTTCTAGAAAACTACCTGAAGCCATTTTTTCCTTGTTGGCGTTGGAGTGCATGTGGTCCCCTTCGCCGTAATTATAACCCAATTTTGACGCAAGTGCCGTGGAGATGGTCGTTTTCCCGCAGCCCGACGTGCCCATCACGTAGATTATTGAGGGGCTCATCTAATAAATCCTTTATAAATTAAAAAAATCTTATGGAATATCGAGAAGTTTGCTTAAAGAAGCAGCTAGACAGAGTAGAGAAAAGATTTTTAATCCTTTCAAAAAAAAGAGCATTTAAAAACGATAGAAACACTGCCGGATGCTTTTATATTTTTTTACTTGGTTTATGCTTACATTGAAGTTTAATAAAGAAAATAACATTCATTAGAAGCTTAATTAATTCCCATGAAAACGAGAAAAATCAATAAAACCAAAAGATAATTATGGAAGGCGAGTACGATGTTATTTCGCGTTGTGTCTTGCGCGCTTGTTGGGTAATCAATCTTTTTTTTATTTACCATGCACGCGCGGCGGGCATGCTGACTAGGAAAACAGGCGATAATTGATAAGGCCTTCAAACAAAAAAAGCGAAATCGAAGTGAAAGTGGATGGAACATGTGGACTTTTCCTCGAAAACCGGGGCTTTCCCCATTTTGTAGTTTGTCGACACATCCACTTGCGTGTTGCACTTTGTATTCAAGATAAGCGGGGCGCCAAGCTCTACGAATACATTACGCTCCCATATACGCCAGCTCCTGTGCATTTTCTTCGTTGTAAATTTGTGCGAACGAATGTTCTTTATTCCTTGTACCTTTTTTGTGCTTGCAATGTTTTGTTTTCCCGTTTTTAGCGGACATCGGCTTGTTTTTCTTCGCGTAACAAAACTAAATATTTATTTCAGTGAAAGTTTTTAGTTTTTTGTCAACGGTCATTTTATTCAAATCGGCGTCGATTCCAGTACTGCTGGTTGCGGGCGGCCTCGGGCATCATTGGGAAGCGGAAATCCTAGAAAATTGTTTTTATAGGTTTTCCCTTTGTCAATGCTTCGGGTTAGCTTTTCGTCATTGTCATTAAGATTTTATGACTTTTTTTATGTTACCTTCATGCCAAGTGGCCGGAACCGTCGAACATAACGCTGGAGGTTGGGCTTCTCCTCTTCGGTTTCCAAATCTTGACAAAGGGCCAAGCACACCAAACAGGCGAGCACCAAGAGCAAGCTCAAGACGTTGCGCCTCATGCTAAAAATGTAATTGTTTTAGTGCTATATAAGTCAAGAAAATCGAGAACATTCGGTAAAGAGAATTATACGGAAGAGACGGCCAATGTGGTTTTCTAAAAGCGAGAAAATTGTGCCATCTTCTAGAAGAAGAACTACCAGTTAGACAAGACGCCCTTATTGAAGTAAGTCTAATTTGTCAGCCCGTCAAAAACTTGATTCCAAAATATTTTTTTAGTTCATAAAAACCCTAGACCTTGCGCGACGTACAAGCGTCAACAATCCTAAAGACACGGCAAATGTTGACGAAAAGCCGAATAGACTTTTCCTAGCCCCAAAACCCAAGTCTGACGTTTACTACTAAAATCAGCGCCTCCAATTAAACCGGGGCATGGCTGGCCAGGGAGCTGCTGCTCTTCCACTATCCCCCAATTAAAGCGACGTGAGAAAAACACGGTCAATTTGGGGGGTGGCTCGCCATTCAAAGTTAAAGGCCACCGGGGTGGGGTTATAAGTGCAGTGGAAAAGATCTCGAGTCGTAACATTGGTTAAAATTAGGTGAGGAGTGTCTGGGCGGCCGGGTGCCGAGCTCTATAATTTTGGGTTATGGTCAGGAGAACGAACGGGTTGGTGCCATGGAGACTAGGAAAAAAATAGGGTTTGCAAAATTTTACCGAGATCGCCGGTTTCAAAACACGTAAAAGCGGTGTAAAGGGTTTTCGCAAAAGTAATAATGGCAGCGGGATTGATAACTACCACTCCCTTTATCTAACCATAGCGTTAAATCAGCTTCTATAAATCCCCTGACCCAATTGCGTGTAAATAAACCTTATATCCCTGGAAACCGGATTAAACTTTGTAGTTTTTGGCTGCTCCGGATGTACGAACCGACGAGTGCAGCGCACCATAACGTGCAAAACACACGAAATACCTACGCACAAATAACGGTAGATCCTAATCATCATCATCGTCGGAAAACATGGCTAGAGGAAATTCTAACCAAAAATTACAAAAACCTACCCCGGTCAACTAACAGTGTAAGAAAAACCTGGCTTTTCGCGTTTTTTTCCGGCTACTGTACCACTTATCGCAACACTGCCGGATTACTTGCTATGAATTGGCGGCTTAATTTGACTCCAAACTCCCTCGTTCTGCCGCCAACGCGTCAACTAATAGAATTTGCACGCAAAGTCTAACGCAAAGAAACGGGAAGAGGTGCGCGGCGGGGGTGGGCTGAATGAGAAGTTGGAAGGATACACGCAGCATTATTTTTGAGCGGTGAAAAATGAAAAGAGCGTGAAGGAGGAGGAACCGATGATTTCATCGGGTCCTTGTCAGGTTGAGGTTTGAGACTTTAAAACGCGGAGAAGCAATAATTTTGGATTAGGGCGCGTGCGGTATATCGCGAGACTGTACTCCCTTGAGACCCGATTAGCATAAAAATGTCGGAGTACGGTAGCTGTACAGAAAAGGGAAGGAACATTAAAAGTCTCATAGATGCCTTGATCCTAGCCCACTTATTTTCATAGATCAGAAGAACTTGAAAAGTTTCTTTTTAATAGTCTTAAGGTATGATGGCGGAATTTGGTCTTTCGTAAAAATTGCCTACTTTCCATAGAACTCTCCTATCGAAATAGAATGTTAAAAGTACTCGTGATACCTGAAACAGCAAGCTCAGCTTAATATTTATAGAGCAGAACAACTTGCTTTTTAATCATTTTATGGCCCAATCGAGCTATTTTTGATTTTTACAACGCCACGCCTAGAAAAATCTAAAATCTCGATAAACGCTTAATCTTTGAAGATTTCTTCACTAGTTCATAAAAGTTCTGCGTAGTCCCCTAGTCCAGGTGACCGGAAATTCTATTATTAACAACGCGCACCCACGCCTAGAAACTTCAATTGAATGCCTCGCCCCCCCCTGGCAAGTCACTACCCAGAACCAAACATTCGCTTAGACGCCTTCTCGGGCTGACGTCTGCTTGGCCCCCAAGGCACAATGGATTTCCATTAGCTACTATGGAGGCGAGAGAGCACAACATTCGTGGATCTGTGTTCCGGACCAAATTTCCCCCCGCCCGAGGTCCCGGGGCGACAAATTGCAATTTCCAGGAGGGCATCTTCGGTCTAACAGGGATATTCTGAGGGCCCGGAAATTATGACGGGGAGTGGACAGATATGGATGCCGCCTTCCGGCTACTGCAAATTGCACGTCTTGAAGAGGGTGAAGCCCGCATACGGTAGCGAAGTTGGGAAGTAGCGAAATGATTGTGGGGTTTCGGTGTATACATTTTCTGTTTCACTGTAGTGGCCTAGTATTTTGTAGCGGGTTTGCGCACATTCAGGCACGAAACGGCAACAGCCAAAGATCTTGAGAACGTGACAATATAGAAGTAAATAGTAAATTACTAAAAAAAATCGTAAAATCGAAAGTTTTGGGCTCCATGGCTATTTCTGGACCCTTTAAAGCCCGCCTCAATTACCGTAAGTAAAGAAATTCTTGGTTATTAGCGCGGTCCAGAACACAAAACAAGTCTCCCAGCTTCGAAAACCCGAAAAAGCAATGCATCATTGACGCAAGAACCAGAAATTGATGGTTACCCCGGCAAGTTGTACCGAAATTGGTGGCTTTCAGGCCAGAAATAACAAAAAAGCTAGCGCGTTTAGCAAGGAATCCCAAGGATTACTGGGGCATGGAAATTGCAGTTGATGAATGAGAAAAATTTACGGTAAGATGAGTAAATGTTGCACTTTCATTTTTATCAGGGCCTATAAAATGCGAACTTTCCGAAGTATTCAAAGAACTTATTACGTTTTAGTAGTTCAACTGAAAGCTAGTCACGCCGAAATTCACACCAAAACTTAAAAGAATCATGTCAAAAAATCAGAAGTCGTGACGTAGTCGTTGTAAAAAACTCATCAAGCGACTACGGTTCCTTTACAGCACTGTACTATGCGCAAAAAAGTATAGAAGATTTCATTAGGCAGATTTTTTTTACTCCCTAGAGGGCAAGTTTTTACTGACGAATATTGCCGCTAGGTAACCCTGAGAAATATGGACTCACAGCACACGCGCAAAGGGGTGCGTCAAGTAATGGGTAATGTGATATGGTAGGGGGTGAATAATCTCTTTTTTTAGAGAGAAGAGCAACGTGACGGGGGGTATCTGGAAACATAATCCGAGCTCTGGTTGCTTGTTGCAATTTATGGGGTGAGGGTGGTGGAGAGATGGCATCATTTTTATGAGCGGCCAGAATCTGGTATTCCGTGTAGTTGACCATGGCTGGGGGGGGGCCCCCCCTTTTCCCCTTTTTTTTTCTTTTTTCCCCTTTTTTTTTTCTTTCAATAGCTTTGGAATTACGCATTCTAACACAGAGAGCTGTTTTGAAGATAAAGATAACTTGGGAATTTCGAAGGGTGTACTTTATTGCTTTCTCCTCTACCCAAAGAAATCTGCAAACCCCCCGCATCAAATCTTGCGCCACACCAATTTTGGATCGGAGATTTGAATATGGCAAATTGAGGCAAGATGAACAAATTCCATTCCAGTCCTGGGCAACAAACACCCCGAAAAAAATCGGAAAAATCCAACCCAAAAACGGACAGGCAATTCAATTAACTAACCGCCGGGAAGCGCAGCCATTTCGCCGCGGCGATAAAGTTGGTACGCCGATTAGTTTGAATTGACAACACCCAATTTTCCATCTATTTCCGGTTCCAATGAAGTCAATGGCTTGGCTTTGCTTGACCGGCCCATTTGCAGAAGCCGTACGAAATCTGATCCCAACGGCCTTACTCAAGAGTTTTCAGCCAAAGCCAACGACCCCCCCCCCGAATTAGTCCATCAGAGCCCGAGTCGCAGATTTGGCCAAAATTTACCGGCCGGGCAACGGGGCTTGCAAAATAACGAAAAATTCGTCCCGAAGGAAGTTCGAAAACGGACCGGGCCCTAGCGCCAGGAGGAGGCCGCGAGAAATAACGCAACCACCCGCAAAACAGCTTCCGGCCCAAATTTTCGGGTCTTAGGGGTTGACCAAGGATGTAGGGGGCCCACCCTAAAACCCATTTAGGCGACGGGTAGGCGTTGACCCATTTCATGCAAAAATATATGTAAAAATGAACGTTATTTTGGGCAGGCATAAGGTTCGAAAGGGAGGATTTATAAGCTAGAAAAATGGCGTTATTTGTGGATACAAGGAGGCGCAGTGATGTTGTTTATGTTGGGTATGATTTCTTCATTTCATGGATTAGCGCGGGTAATGCGTTTTTATGAGAGCGTAAAATTGGAATTTTAGAGTCATCGTATATTGGTCGATCGCATAATAATTTTGTCATTGAAAATGATGTGCTGAAACCGCAAGAAACTAAGCTAATGTATTTATCGTAGCGGCTATTGGCGGTCCTCTGAAAAAAAAGTAAATCGGTGTGCTGCTAGTTATGTCGTTAAATGATAAAAAAACAAATCTCAGAAAATGCATTTTTAACCGCGCGAGAACGCGGAAATTAAAAAGAGCAGGTTTAAATCCATGTGCTAGTATAATTTAAGTACAGCTACATGGCCTGAGTGTATTTTTCTGTTGATTTAACAACACTATTTGTTTTCAAGTCTATTTTTATTTCTGGAAAGTTTGGTTCCACCAGCTTTCCCAGATCGCACCGCGATCGAGCTGCCCAATCCATAACCGGCTGCGGGGTCACCGCCCATAGGGCTATCAGCCCCCCTCGGCGCCGCTCTTCCGTGCGTTCGTGGTGTAATGGTCAGCATGGATGCCTTCCAAGCATTCGACGGGGGTTCGATTCCCCCCGAACGCAAACCTTTTTGCTTTTTGCCAATCTGGTTGGCCAAAAACTATATGCCGTTTTGCCATTTGGACATCTTTTCTGTTCTACCGTTGTGAGGTCAAATCATCAGGTTTTAGCGGTCCCTTCTGATAACGGTAATAAGCTCATTAGTCTCATTGATTTGTTTCTCCAAGGCTGTTTGGAATGAAAATCGGCTATAGCCTACAAAATGTGAGTTTCTAGTAGCTCATTTATGTTACTTTGCTTAAGCTAACGTTACTATCCGCTCTTTTACACTTTATCTGCATGCTTGGGGCCCAAATCTGGGTATCGATTCGGATATTGGATAGCTATCATGAGTAAGCGATTTTAAAGAAGTTACTACGCACTTTTTAGAAGTAATTATCCACAAAGTCCAGCAACTGCGCAGGCTTATATAATTTTGTATTTTGGGTAATAAATAACTTTTTCTTACCCCGCAAAAGATTTAGTTTTATGGTATCAAACACCGGACTTTACGCTGTAGCCGCCACTCTTACCGTCATGGGATTTCGGCGGAACGCGGCTCTTTTGGCACTTTCATATCCTTTTTACTTGGTAGTTAGTTTTTAGTAATCTTTGTCGAATTTTTAGATCTATCCAATTCAAAGTTTCTACACCGTTGCGACCGACGGGTTGATGGATAGCCAGTACTTTTTGATGACCCTTGGGGTCTACGGTCTAACTTTTTGTTTTGTTAATTTTGTTCTGGTGATATGGCTTCATCGGCGGAAATTTTCGCTTACGGCCGGTTGTCCGCACTGTAATTATAATAAAGTGTTTTTCTGAAAGTTTGGAAAAATAGTGACATTGGGGAAAGATTACGGGTTTCGAGGTCAGAACCGTTTGTTCAAAAACTTTTATAAATCATCGTCTAATGAAGATAAGCTAGGAACATAATGTTAATACACATAAAGGCCGGCAAATTGCTTAATTGGTTTCCGGAAGTTGTCGTCGTGGCCGGTTGCGCGGAAGTGCTACCAGGAGATCCAGAAGTACCGGCTGGATTGGTGACGGTAGCTGCGGAAGCGGGTTGTGAAGCCGTCGGAGCTAAATTTTGCTAGTATTCAATGCCATAAGGGAGAGACTTGAATTCCGAAAAAGTACAAACCTGGGAAAATTAATCAATTATAATACCTTGCGATGTTGCGACTGTTACAACGGATACTGGAACGTTAGATGTAGTAGGCTGAGAAGCAGGAGAGATCGACGTTTGCACCGGCGCGGCGACAATTCGATACCAAACAAGGTATCCCTTATCCACGGCCATTTGAGATGGATACCACAAAATCTGAAGTATTTGTACATATTCTTGCCGGTTCCCCCAAAAGCTCACCGTGAAGTTCACGCCGTTCAAGTAAATCTCCGAGTTCTTCAGCGGGTTGGTCACGCTAAAGAAATAGCCAGGTGCACGGAACCGTCTTATGTACTTGACTTGAGACAGGCCATTCTGGAAGGTGAGGCGTCCATCAGAGCCCGGAGTCGCAGATTTGACTACAAAATTTACCGGCAGGGCATCTGGGCTTGCTAAAAATCTCGATCGTAATATGATAAAAAAATCTCAAAGACTTCATGGACTTACAAGAAGGGTTATTAAAACCCTCAAAACGCATAAAATTCGTAAACTAACAGTCCAACGCCGAATGTGACATCGCATCGTTAAATGATTGCGTCTCTCCGAACGGCTCCACCCACTCGTAGCTCATGCTCCAGCCGTTCGACGGCTTGTATGAATCAGCGATCAACGTAGCTGTAACCAGGTTTTGATCGTGATAGTAGAGTTGCTATACGATTTTTAAGGCTTTGGTTGTTCTAAACCTTGCCCCGTACCTTTGTTCAACACCGACCACATGAAGGACCCGGTGCAATTTTGTGGGACCATGAATGTAAACGCTGTAGTTCGCACGTAACTCGATTGATAGTCCTTGACGTTGTCTTCGCTATTCAAAACATCGTTTTACGAATTTCAAGTAACCCCACTCAAAAACATAGAGCAAGGTGCGGTCCCGCGTTTCGAAGCTGGGGATGTTTCCGGCATGAAGATATAGTTGGCATCCTGGTGATACCTATTTCAAAGTCTTTTGCATTTTTAGTAAAAAAAGAAAAAACTGGGGCTCCTAATACCGAATATCTCAACGCATAGAGTCAAGCGGGGCTGTGGCGCGTAGCGTAGCCGATAATCGGGCTACAATGGGCTACTACGGGTCTTCTTACCTAATGCGCTTTCCTTAAATCTGTTTTTGAGACGTAACTTGGAATTGTCGATATTTTGCCTTCCGCCAGGACAAATTCAGTAGATTTCAGGTATACCAGAACCCCTTAAATGATAGGAACCTTTTTGTTTCTGATGCAATCAGCCACTTTGAAAGATCAGGCCGAAAAAAGCGGTGTTCAAACCACCAAATTAGACATAAATTTAGTCGTGTGTTTTGTGTCTTCATCCTTTTTGACCACGGCGCACTCACCTGTGGCGCAAAAATTTTGACGTTCTGGAATTGGTCGCGTGCGAGAATGAGTGTAACGGCACGCGTCCCATTCTCCAGCCGAACCGTGTCCATCCTGCCGTTCACATCGGGGATCACGCGGAACACCGACGGTAGCCAATCCTCTGTAAAAGGGGACTGTAAAGGATGTCCGGAGAGTGTGCACTTTTTAGACAGCCATGGGGTTCGGGAAATCGAATTAACCGAGGTTTTTTGTGGACCGGCAGAAACCGTTGAACTGTGTTGTCGACGTGCTTTCCGTGCGCATTCCACAGCGTGGGAGCGCTCGTGAATTTTCTTGAATTTTACGGTAGGATTTTCTGGGTGTATATAGCTACTGTATACGTTAGTGTGCGCTCGCTGCGGCTCCGTAATGCTACAGTTTTAAAACGTAAATCCTGTTTGTAAGATTGTAAAGCCATAACGGTTTTTAAGTATTATGTTTCTTACTTGTTATAAACTCTGATAGTTTTTACCTCGGTTACGGCGACGTCCCGCTACCGTTTTGATACCTACACAAATGCCTGTAGTTTAAAAAAGTTTAAGTAGCCATAAATTAGCATTTTTGCCGTTCTTCTGCAGTATAAAGATGATATTGATAGGTTTAATTCTATTTATATTCTTCTGATAATTTTGACTAACTTACGCTCGTGCACGCCCACCCATCTTCTGAACGAAACAATAAAGTCCGTCACGGAATTGTTTGCGACCGAAAGCGAAACAGGCCCAGTCAGTACAAACAATTTCGAAGTTGTGGTTTGATCATAGCTAGAAATAGAACTTTTTCTTCTATCGTCAAAGCCCTACCTGTAATTTTGTCCCGATGACGTAAAAGAAAATGTTGTATTGACAGGAGTACCAACTTGGTACTCCAAAATTAACCCGCAGTCCCCACAATCTGCCGCTACGGTTAATGTCTAGGTTATTTACCCTAAAAATTCAGTTTTTCAAACCTGATATCTAGCGAGTCGTGCTCCATAAAATACCACTGACGAAGTATCATTATTTATCGTAATCTGGCGAGCGGCAACTGATTGACCTTCAAAATTATAATTCTTGATCGCTAAAGCACCCAACCAATAAACGCTAAAAACGGGAGTACCAATAGCATCATTTTAAGAGAGGCTCTGCCTAGATGAAGCTGGGATGAGCCGAGGCCCAAAGAACCCACTCCCGGCTACTAGGGTCGTAAATCTGTGCCTGATAAGCTGGGCGGCTACCGTGAATCAGGAAAAACGGTCGTGTAGATGGAATTATAGGGAGGGTCGGGGGCAATAAAACAGAAATAAAAGTCCAAAAATTGCCCGTGGCTCGATTGAGGTTATCACAGGAAGTTTGCGTAGAAAATTCGGTAAAGAAACGTGAAAAATACTGGACTTTAAGGATACAGAGGCAAGTACACATTTTCTTCATAGGCAATTTCACAGGAAATACATACATAAAAATATATTTTATTTTGACAGGAGATTAATCTTCCCATTTCACAGCGTCAAAGTTTTTAATTTTAGGCTTATTTTCAGCGGAGTGTCCCGTACTTTATACTACATAAATCGTCCATCTCTCGTCATTCCTTTGAACTATCCCGTTCCGGGGAGGTGAAATCCCGAGAAATCGTGAACCCCACCCAGTACGAGATGGGAACGGGAAACCCCCCTTAAAGATAGGTGGGACCAGGCCTGGGAATTTCGCGGGCCGGCCCGGGCCGGCCCGCCACCTTGCCAATAAGTTATATTGAGTTTTAATGAGGTAATTTAATTACATTATAAGTTTTCTTTATTGATATTCAAGTTAAATCATCTGTTTAAACAGTTAAAAGTAAAAAATCCGAGTTTTGGCTTAACTTTGATTTATCAGGAAAACGACCCGGGTTCGATCCCGGCCGAGGTCAATCTTTTGCTTTTTTTGGCGGGAAATGTTCAGAAATGCTGGGAATATGCCTTGTTAGCCTTATTTAAGTGTATTAGCGTTCAAACTACACGTGGGCGTCAAAGAAATTGACCTCCATTAAGTAAAACAGACTTTTTTCTATTGAACTAAAGAAGTACTGGTTGTATGCTGCTTTACGATTAAATTCTCGTTACATACTATACCTAAATCGGTTGTGCAAGCCTATAGACGATTAACGGTGTTGATCTAACACGTTTTTGTGACTCCGGAAAAATTAAATGATGGCATATACTGGTTTGGTAATAATGTACCCAAAATGTCGGGCCGGTCCGGGCCGGCCCGGGCCGGCCCGGGCCGCAGGCCGAAAAATTGGCTGCGGGCCGGCCCGGGCCGGGCCGGGCCGGGCCGAGAAAAATGGGCTGGCGGGCCGGCCCGGGCCGGCCCATTCCCAGGCCTGGGTGGGACTAACAGTTGCCCGTGGTTCTAGGAATGAAAGCATTGTTTGAAAGACGCGACTGGTCATTGCGCTCAATGCAGAATTCCTTCAATTGCAAGAATGTCTTTCTTTTTATGTGATTTCTCACGTACAGCCACCAGCTTCCTAAGTAAGCTTCTGAGTAAGTAAGTTTCCAAAGCTTCGATGATCTATTATTGAACGCCTTGGAAAACCCCGACCCTCCAACAAGGTTTATCTCTCAACGCTCACCCGTAATCCTGATTCCCCTATCCAATTTCTGCAAAAATCATCAACTTTTTCCAGCATTTCGATTCGATTCATGTGCCCAGCATGTGTATGACCATCCACCTACAGGGCAGGGCTGCATTTTTTTTTGGTTACGCCGAAATTGACTGATCTGTCAAACGGGGAAACCCCTTTTTCAATTGGCCGGAACTTTGTAGTTCATAAAATTTGATAATAAGAATAAAACATTATATTTTGATGAGTATTATATTGCTATTTTTTTATTGTACGACTCGGCCGGCCACACTTTCCGTTTTTTATATTTTGCTCTCAACAGTCACGAATGTTCGTATCAAAACTCATCGAAAGCACTTTGGGCGTAGCTAGAGGATGAACATGTCTGTTTTCCCCCTAGATAGCCCGGATCGTAGCCCTTTTCGGAGTGTAATCCCTAACAGGATCGTCATTTCTCCTTTTGATCTCTATTTTTAGAGACTACACCCTTTTCCGATTGCCTATTCTATTTGATTCTTGTGGCGTATTGCACAACCATTGAAACGGTCATGAGACGCTTTAGTCAGGCTTGATAGCTTCCGGTAGCTGATAAACCCCCGAAAAGGTTAAATTAATTGAAAAGGCCGAGTCACTCTTATGCGAGGGCCATAAAAACTACTGAAAAAGTCGACCGATTGTCTAAATATACGTATCACGGAAGAAACTACGGCTGGCCGAGTCTTGCTATTTAAACACTGAGCAAACAGAGAAGCCTGTTTTTTGCAGCGTCATCATTCTTGTACATGGCCCATATAAAACGCAACCTTTCTTAGAAATAATGATGGGTTTATAGAAAAATAATTCCTCTTGAAAATCGTTAATTCTTTTCGTTGAAGCTTCACCAAATACCGGCGTCCCACATTGCTTTCCCGTGCCGCCGGGAAATTTGCACACAAAAAGCTGAACGGATAGCCGGGGTGGGTGCAGGGGGGGTTTCCTTGAAAGAACGCAAATTTGATTGATCACCATGTCTGGCACCATTCGAATCATTTCCTAGTTTCTAAAATACTGATTTACTTATTTAATAACATAGAAAGAGTTTATTGCCCAACATGTGTAAAATGGAAACTGACATCGTTCGCGTACGCTGCATTCCGGCCACTGATTTAAACGTCTACTGTTCACTAACGTAGCCCTCTACCCAGAAATCTTTTTTTCCATCTTTTCAAACTTTATTTAATTTATTTTTAACCAGCCGCTTCCAGCGGCTTCGCCGCTGCAAGCGGCTGGACTTCGGGCTACCCCCTGCACTCCCTCCCCCTCGCCGAAACGCGCGCGGCCTGGCTCACTATGTCCAAAATCACCCCAACCTTCGTCCCCCACCCCTTTTACTAAGGAAAAACTTTCAAAGTTAATTTTAATATTTTAAATTAAAACTTTTTAATAATTTTTTTATCAGTTTGGGGGTTTCTGACCATGCTCTATCCGAATCCGAAGAGAGCTAAGCTCTAGCTCCTTTCCCCTTCGAGTTGAATCTGGGACATGACGCACAGACAGACAGACGGACAGACACCACAGCAAAATTATTATAGTTGATTTTATTTTATTCATTTGCAGGGTCAATAAAATCAACACTTTCAGGGACAATCCCTTCTAAAAACGTCGTTTTCACCGCTATTCGCGCTATTACTTGATTCTTTGACGGGTTCCGGATGTTTACGGCTAGGTAAAACATCTGCTTCTTTACAAAAAGGTCTTCTTTAGGTATTATGTTACGATCATAGTTACGATACTTGGAGGCAGTGTGCAATTTTATAGGTATGCCCAGTTCCGCTCTTATAAACCTTGTTTTTAGTTACGGAATCGTCAATCCTAGTCAAGAATTTTTAACGCAATGGATAAATGAGACGTATACAGATCGAGGTGCAACACTTAGTGAGGTGAGTTAATTTTTTTAAAAAGTCAGAGGTTTTTCGCTTTAGGAAAAGCTCAACTTCATATGGTCGATCGTTGTGGGCAGCATCACCCTTGGCGCGTTGGCCGGTTCGCTTTTGGTTAGGTAATTTTGTTTCTGTAACTAAAAAACCTTTTTAGAACATTGGCTGAAGGGTTTGGCCGGCGCAACGGATTGATTTTAAATGGCGTTTTCAACGTTGCGGGAGCGGTCTGTCAATTTGTGGCAAAGCCAACAAGGTAAATCTTTTTTTAAGCTTAAAAATATGCCTAAAATTGTTTGTTTAGTTCTCCAGAAATCCTGATCATCGGTCGATTCGTGCTGGGCGCCAATTTGGGCGTCGCGTCCGGGATTGTGCCGATGTATTTGATGGAGCTAACGCCAGCAAAGTATCGAGGAGCCGCCGGGACGATGCATGCGGTAAATTAGTTTTTTTTACCATAGAAAAGTCTATTTAGGTAGCCCTCTCATTCGCTGATTGGTTCTGTCTCTTCATCGGGTTGCCAGAGGTAGGTTTTTTACTGATTTTTAGTATTTATAATCTTTCAGGTCCTCGGCGGCAAGGACTACTGGCCATACGCCTTTGCTCTACCCGGCGTGCCCGCCCTCGCGCTCGTCCTGATCCTCCCTTTTTGCCCCGAGTCTCCAAAGTAGGTTATTTAATCCGCGTTAAATTGTAGTTTTAGATACCTCCTGAATTCGCGAGGAAATCGTGATGCGGCATTTCGGGCGATAGACGTATTGGTATGCGATGAGTCTTCGACGGATCTGTACAAGGATTTGGTGCGAAATTGTGGAGAGGATAAGGTTTGTTTGGATTTATAAAAATAGAAAATTCATGCTTTGTTTTAGAGAAAACGTGGCACCTTCCGGGAGCTTTTCAGTCGTCCAGATCTCCGAATGCCTTTGTACGTCTCGCTGTTCGTCATGTTCGCCCAGCAATTCACGGGATGTACGGCGATATTCGCGTATTCTACGGACATGTTCATTGAGGCGGCAATTGAACCGTGAGTATAGCTATTTTAAATATTCTTCCTTTTTTTAGTCAAATCGCCCGGTACGCAACGTTGGCCATCGGTATCGCCTATTTCCTGTGCGCTTGCATGGCTCCATTGTTGATTGACCGGGTCGGCCGAAGACCATTGGCACTGTTTCAGGTTTTTGGCCTTTTACGAAAATTTTTGTGGTTTAGCTTGCCGCGTGTCTACTTTCACTCATCGGTCTTGCGCTGTTCACCGGACTTCAGCAGTACGCCGAGGTAAATCGGGTTTTAAAACTTGCAAAACTTATTTAGATTGGCTGGGCACGCTACGGGACGATCGGATCGTTGATAACGTACATGTGCTTCTACGGCGTTGGCTCACCGATTCCGTGGATGATCACCGGCGAGCTGTTCAGCCAGCAGGTTGGTCATAAGGCCTAAATAATTCGCTGTATTTAGTTCCGATCAACAGCCGTGACGGTCAGCGTCTTCTCCGTTTTCGCAATAGCCTGTGTCGTCTCCACTTCTTACCTGCCATTTAAAGAGGTTTGGTTGAATTCTATAAATCTTAAAAGACTTTTTCAGCTTGTCGGTATCACCTTCAGCTACACGCCCTTTATCGTGGTCACAGCGGTCTGTGTGGTCGTGATGTATTTTATTTTGCCAGGTATAAAAAATCACATTTTTACGCTTGAATTTTAGAAACGAAAAACCGGGACATTGATGATATGAGCGGCGAAGTATGGACCCTTGAACAATCGACGACAGGCTTCCAGCACGAAGAATTACGCAATGAAACGGAGAGGTAAAAAACTTTTTTGACTAACCATCATACCTTTTTTCAGCCCTGTCAACTCCATCACCAGCAAGGAGCTCTCCACCGACAAATTTTAATATGTGTTTTTTTTGGTTTTTGAAATGTTCTATTCGTGTATTTTTACGTGTATTCCAGAATATTACGGACCGTTCCCCGCGGGTTTAATTAATCATCGCAAGTATTCGTCATAATTTACGCGTAGTTGTTTTTGTTTTTTATTTGTAGATTTTCATGTTTCCGTTGTTGTTAATTGTGACTGTATTCGTTCGGAAATAGTGTTGATTTTTGTAAATATGCTGTGATAAAGGTTTTCAAATTTACAAGGTCACAAAAAGTTCGAGAAGTTGGCTTTTGGGTATCGATATATCGACCAAAGCGCTATCATGTCAAAGTTGAAAATGCCTTCGGGGTATGAGATAATCCAAAATCTCATGAAAGGGGCGGATCGGCGCACTGATATATTGACCTTTGTGGAAGTACGCTATTGCCATCATTCTGCAAACTTTTTGGATCGTCTAGCGCTTTTGGTGTTACATTTTTCTGATTCGCCATGACCTTCATCAGCATATCTCACTTTACCCATATGTAAGTTGCCGTTTTTAATAGAGCCGATGGCTTAAAAGGTATAAGAATAATATATGTATCGCTCTAAGGCACTGAACCCCCACTTTAAACAAAACATTTCATAGGAAAAGCGGTATTTAGACGTGTTTACTATTAAATGCTTAGCCAAAACTACATATAAGCCTTTAAATAGTAATTTCCAAACCCGCAGTCTATAATATACAACCATGCACTCAACCCAGACAAAAGCCTTATCAAAACTGTTCTACCACTCTTTTTTCGTGTCTAACCGTCATTAGGACTGCTGTACTACCACCGATTGTCCCGGTCAACCACTGTGGTTCTGCAGCCGGTTATCAGCTCAAAACGGCGCGTTTCCCCATTAGGAACACAAAGAATGGCCACGGCAAAAAAAGCAAATGATAAAAGCGCCTTATCGATTCCCGCGGGCCCCCGGCTAGACTGACCATGGGCTAGACGGCTAGAAATCCTACTATATATAAAAAAATAGTGTCTGTGTGTGTGTGTGTCTGTGTGTGCCACTTTGCATCCACTTCCGGATGTCTGTCCGGAGGATATCTCGATAGGGGCTGAATTTTAAGGTATGTATGATACGTCATTAGATGCGTAATGGCCTGGAGATGACTGCACGCATATCAGATTTAACAAAATCACCTATTTTCGACATTAAATTTTAGTTTTTGTAAAAATCTCTTTGTTAGGAACAATTAGCGTAGACCGGAAGTGGGGATTCGACTACATAAAGGGACTCAACAGGTAGTTTTTCATTTTTTGTCAACTGAATTCAGGAAAATTATGCAAAGTGAAGGATAAAACGGGGTCTGACGGGGCCAGGGTTGAAAAGTCGCGAAGCGGCTTTTCAACCCTGGTATAGAATTTCTAAAACGGTGGCTATTTCGATATTTTCCTATTTTGCACTATGACCCAGAAAAATGTGAGGTTACAGGCTAGGTAAGTGATTTTTAATGTTTGCGTGTCGAATTTAAAATTCGTAAAAGCTGAACAACTCGTAAGATCCGCGTAAATAACGCAAATAAAAAATTAATAAAAATACCTTATTTTCAGATACCATATTACGATCCTTACTTCAATTCTGGGTGGCAGCGCCCAGTTTTATAGGTTAGAGTATATCATACTTATATCGTATTTTTTTAAGCTATGGTGTAGTCAACCCAGCGCAAGAGTTGATCACTCAATGGATAAATGCGACATATACGGAGAGGTCGGGGGAGTTCGTTAATGAGGTAGGAAAATGGGTTCTGTAAGATTTAATAGTTAGCATTTCGCAAAAATTATAAAGATTTTAGACGAGCCTCAACCTCATCTGGGCGGTGGTCGTTGGTAGCGTATCGTTGGGAGCACTTTTTGGAGCACTATTGGTCAGGTAGGTAACGAAATGCATAATTATGACTTCCTAGCTCCTTTAAAAATAGATTTATCGTTTCGAGGGGTTTAAATTAACATAAAGTTGTTCCTCTTCCAGGGTCCTCTCTGAAACCTGCGGCCGTCGAAATGCCCTGATCGTCAATGGTATCTTCAACGTGATCGGCGCGCTCTGCGAGCTGTTCGCCAGATCCGCAAAATCTCCTGAACTTCTCATCGCCGGTCGTTTTATCCTCGGAGCGAATATGGGCCTCACCTCCGGTGTTGTCCCGATGTACCTGATGGAACTGACGCCGGCTAGGTATCGTGGGGCTGCAGGTACACTTCATATGGTAAGGATCTGAACTTTAAAGGGACTGGAAAGTCAAATATTCTGCTTCAAGCCTTTCTACCAGGGTTTTTAGGTCGCCGTTTCATTCGCCGACTGGTTTTCGTTGCTCATTGGGTTGCCTGAGGTAAGTAATCTATCAAAATGCTCGTATTATATTCTATATTCACATAGAGAGAAATTAAATGTGTTTAGGTTCTCGGTGGAGCCGATCTTTGGCCATATGCCTTCGCCTTACCGGGGCTTCCAGCGCTTGCTCTATGCCTGATTCTGCCATTTTGCCCGGAGTCTCCGAAGTAGGTTTTGAATAGAGCCTTACAAGGGAACCACCTAAGGTCGAGGTGACGTTGCGCTTTGGGACCCAGCCTATTTTGTGCAGAATTTTTTGCTGATTCTGAACCCGCTTTCAATTTTTGCCAAATAGCCTGATTTAAATAGTTACGGCGATTTTAAGATCATATTTGAGCCCGCGGGAGTTCTTCTGTCACGATGCCTAACTTTTTTGTTTTGATATGCCAATCCATTTTAAATAGCCTATCTTGTAGAGAATTTTTTTCTGATTTGAATGGTATATTTGATTAGTGCGCTACTACCTATCGACGATCACCTATAGGGTTGAGAAATAGCCTGTTTTCTGGTCTACCTGTTTTGTTTTCTGGAAATGGCTAGGTCCCATAACGAAACGCCACCTCGACCTCGGGTGGTTGCCTTGTTAGCCTTGCCTTTAGCCTATAGCATCTGACAAGCAATACTTACTATTTTTAGATACCTTCTAATGACAAAAGGAAATCGCGAGGCCGCATACAGCGCCATTGAGCAGCTAGTTGGAAGTGACCAGGCAAAGGCTGTTTTTACTGACTTGATCCGGGAAAGCGCTAGGGACAAGGTAAGGAGTTTTTAATTTAGTAAGCATTGCAACGTATTTCGGCTACAAAGAACGATAGGTTAATACCTTCGGATTTTTCCAGAGCCCAAATGGCACATTCCGCGAGCTGTTCACCAGCAAGAAGCTCCGGCTGCCCTTGACGGTTTCCTTGTTCATCATGTTCGCCCAGCAGTTCACCGGATGTACGGCTGTCTTCGCTTATTCTACCGACATGTTCATGAACGCCAATCTGGACCCGTAGGTTTATCGTTAAATTGAAGACCGTCGATAGCCAAATTTTACAAAGTTAACGGTCAGGCAAACCGCTCGCTTCTCTACCCTAGCCATCGGCATCGTCTACTTCCTCTTTGCCTGCTCGGCTCCAATTCTGATCGATCGAGTCGGAAGGCGGCCACTTTCCTTGTTCCAGGTATAAAACAATTGTTAATAGTATGTAAAAATGACATTTTCAGCTGGTCGCCTGCTTATTCTCGTTGAGCCTACTCTGCTTATTTACCGGAATTCAACAGTATGCTGAGGCAAGGATTTTTTGATAGCTGAAAAACGGAATTTCGGGCTTTGTGATACCTTTAAGCAACTTGGTTTCTAGGCAGCTTGGGCCAGTTATGGAACGATTGGGGCGCTGATTCTGTACATGTGCGTTTATGGGGTCGGCTCGCCAATTCCGTGGATGATTACTGGCGAGCTGTTCAATCAGCAGGTACGTATAATGATATACAATTATATATAAAACTTAGTCGTAAGTTAATTTGATAATATATTCACTCAAATGATGTATTATTCAGTTCCGCTCGACTGCCGTCACCGTGTCGGTGTTCTTCGCCTATTCGATGGCCTTCATCATCTCATCGGCGTATTTACCCTTCCAACAGGTAATAGGAAAAATATATAAAGTAATTACTGAACCGGAAAACTCATGAAAGTATTCAGTAGCTATAGCGAATGATTTTTTACAGCTTGTCGGCGTCACGTTCAGCTACTTACCCTTCATCATCGTCAGTATCGTCTCGATTTTCGTTTTATACTTCATTTTACCGGGTAAGCTAATTTATCTTACAGGTTTGATTATCAGGATAAGAAGCCATATATAGCTTTCAATAGATTAATATATATTTTAGAAACGAAAAACCGTGACGTGAACGATATCGTTAATGAGGCTCGCGCCAGGACTCACTCGGTTTCTATTGGATCCCCGTGGCATGCCGTCACACAGGAAGGTCGGGAAGAGGTACGTTCTAGGCGTCTTTTCAAGTTTCCAAACCTGATATGACAGTATTTGCCATCAATTTACCTAAAAATTACAATCAAAAGTTTACTACAATCCGTTCCGCTACCTTTTGCTCCTATTCTCTAGCGAAATGGCCCCATAAATCCCCAAATCTCGTCTACCCCCGCTTCTCAAATTTACTGGGGAAAACCCGCCGACCCATGAAAAGTGATCTATCCACCCACAAGGGCAAAAACCTTGAGATACACCGCCCCGGCGAGCCCAAAAATTAGCGGGCGACGTGCAAAAAATGGGGCGCATCGCTGTCGGCATCGACTTTTTATGAACGCGCGTTTCCCCCGCCATGATTGAGCGGGACTAATTTGGGCGTTTTTTACGGGGAAATGATATTGCAAAAAACGAAGGGATCGTTTTCAGATGCGCCGCGTCCTCGACGACATTTCGGAGGGATACAGTTCGATCTCAAATTGAGCTAGCTGCGCAGAGTCAACGTGCCATTTCTCGGGCTTTCTCCGAATTCTTGTATAGATTTTTGTGTGTTATTACAGTAATCCCATTCCGCGTCCGTACCCGTACTTGTGTCGGTTAAAAAAAGTAGTTCGCTGTGGGAAATGGTGATGAACTAGGAGAGATAACGGCTTAAGAAACCTGTTTTTATGTCTTAACTTACTAGATTTTTCATTTAATAGCATCGCGAGTATCGGATTTTTGATTTTTGCAAATTTGAAGGTATTTTTACAATTAATTGTCAGCTAAGCATCAATTGACCACTCTGAAATAAGTAAGAGCATCAAATATAAAGAACAATTTAACAATCTTAAATTGATGCATTTCGACTCAAAACTCCGTTTTTCTCACATTTTTTGGGTTAATAACCTGTCCACCTTAAAATGATAAACCGAAACCAATGGCTGTCTTTAGCTCAAAATTTAATACCTTTAATCGATACCCCGCCATTAAAACACCTTGTTTTGAGCAACATCTCCAATGCGGTGTTTCGAACCCCAGAAAGGGTGGCCCATTCTATCAATCACCCACTTTTTCGAGCCGTTCTCTCCCGCTCACCGTTCAAACCACAACCCCGTGGAACCATTCCCAGTTTCAATCTCCAAACCGCCGGAATCTTCGATTTTCCCCAGCCATTTTTAGGCTCCCTTTTTCGAGAAAATGTCTTTCAATGCCCCGCCCCATTTTTCGCCATTTCCACCTCGGGTTCTGCAACTTTTGCCACCAAAAATAAACGGTTATGCGCCAAAAATCGCTGTCGTAAATTTTGGGCGGCAAGCCGGAATCGGCCTCAAAACAGAATCTGCATGAATGTGATATAATGTGCGTTCATCCATCATTAAAATATGGGAAAATCAGAGGTTTAGGGTGCTATATTTCGTCCCGGCCGTTTTTTTATGACGGGATTTGGGAATTTTTATGCAAATTTGTAACCGTATAAATAGGGGCCAATCCTCGCCCAGGATCGTATTTTCATTCTGATTCCATTTGGTGGGTTTTTGAGGTTTTGCAAATTTACAAAACACGATCGAAGCTATTTTTATCTCCAAAAACTCGAAAATTTGAATTAGTTTTGCTGCTGAAATGCGCTCGGCTTGTTTTTTTTGCTGATACGTTGTCCTTAATAGATCAACACCGCCAAAAACTGACCTTGACATGGATCGTCGCATGCGAAATCCGAAAAAAGGAGCGCAGAAAAGTTTAGCCGAGCCTTGGGGCACTTTTCGTAAAAGCGGATGGCCACGTTGCCCTTTCTCCCCAGTTTTGTATACTTGGAACTACACTGTATCTTTGCACAGGCACAAAATGCACGAATTCTCCTTCTCGCGTGCGGCCCGGCAGTATTTGTAGAGGGTTTGAAGCTTATAAAAAAATCGCGCGAGTGGATTAGCCCTCAGAAAGTTGCGTTAGACTTTTGAGTGGTGGTCCTGGAACCTATTGGGTTACGGTATGAAAAGGTAAAAAACTTTGCCGGTTCTTTGGTCAAGATTTTTGAGTGGAAAATCTATAGTTTCTGAAGGTGAACTTTATTATTTGTCCTTTGCATATTGCTGTACGTAGCGTTCCGTGTTGACGGTATTTGTGCACCCTCAGGGGATACAGAACGGAATGATAAGTACGCAAATACGCCTTGGGGGCTGCAGCGGGTGTTATTGACAGTCGGGTGGGGCGGTCATTTGAGATTTGCACAAACGAGTGCACTCAGGGACTTCCGCATTGTTGCTGGGGTTGGAAGATACTAGTTGAGAGAGGTATCTAGGAAAGACAAGCCTAAAACTTAGGATTTTTACTGTCTTACGAGCACGATCGTTAAAACAGTATAAAAAATATAACCTAAAAACCAAATTTGGCACTTTCCGAAGCACGAGAAGCACGTTGCAACATCGTCAAAATAACAATTCGATTACGCATACTACAATGGAAATTAAAAAATTGCGAAAGTCCATTTTTACAGCAATGTACGGACTCGTAGTCCTTGCTCTCGTTGGGACCGCTCTGGCCGCTGAATCCTCCCCGGCGCTCATCTTGAGCCCGTTGGTTAAGGTACGTTATAAGTAATTACCTACGTGTAGTGCTACCTACAGACAATCTAGACTTGAAATTTCAAATTTTTCAGCAATACCAAGACCTGATCTACGGGGAGAAGTACGATCAACTCGAGAATCTCTACCACCCGAATGCTGTCCTCGTCGTCAACGGACACGCTGCGCCTTATTACACCCCAAAGAGTGCGTTATAGGAAAGGATAGTATTGGATTAGGTAGGGGGTTTTTTTGGGACACCCTGTAGTAATTCTAACCCAAATTTTCAGACATTTTCGCGCAGATCAAATCTTCACGTTCCAAGGTCGGCGGCGCCAAGACCACCTTCCTCAAGGTAAAAATGGACAGGGTTGCTTCGAATATGTTTTTGTGATTTTAGGAGAGCTTCACCGGTGCCGGCGAGGTGCTGATGTACGAGAACCAGTGGAAGATTTCGACCGGTAATTTTTATAGAATTTTTTAGGATTTCGATCTTAACAACCACCCACTGTAACAGCTCTTAGAAATCTCTATAGCCCGGAGAAAAGTTAAATTTCTTTTTATTTTCAGACAACGGCACCGAAATTGAGCGTAAGTAAAAAATCCCACCAATTATTTCTGTTTAAAAATGCATTAACTACTGCTTTGCCAAAATTTAATAGCTATTGAGACGGCTTTTTGTCAATTTAAGCTTTCAATTTCAGCCACCAGCGAGCTGACCGGCCCCTATCGCGCCATCTGGGTGATGCACAACGGCAAGTGGGTCATCTACCACGAGGAGTTCAGCCAGGCCGTCAAGAAACTTTAAGAAACGATATATTTAATTTAATAAAAAAATGGATTACAAGTTGCGCACAGAGGCTTCACTTGAATACATCGGTTTATTAAAGACATTCTTAGTACATAATTAAAATTATTAAGGACGGAATTGGAATAATATTCGTATAGATTCATTTAATGGGCGTGGTGATGGATGTGGCGCTTGGTCTGGGAGTACTGCTCGTGGCAGATGACCCAGCGGCCCTCGTACTTGATCCAGATGGCGCGGTAGGGGCCGCTCAGCTCGAGGTTTGCTGAAAATGGGAGCATTAGTCGGAAGTTTTTAGGAGTGTAACGCAGTCTACGAAAAATTTTATTTTAAAGAATTCATACCAGTAGTGATGGTCCAACGGTTTTCATACATCATGATGTCGCCATCACCAGTGTAGGTTTCCTGGAATTTTAGGCGATTTAAATTTTTACACGAGCTGACCTTGATGAAGACGGTCTTGGCGTTGCCGACCTTGGAGCGAGCCTCGCGGATCTCCTCGAAGATGCCTTTATTTTATGAAAAAAGCCTAGGAAGAGTATCTTACGAGCAGGGGTATAGTACGGGGATTCGTCTCCCTTGACGACGAGGATGGCGTTCGGGTGGTAGAGCTCTTCGAGCTCTTCGTAGTCTCCAGAGTAAATGAGATCTTGGTATTTCTGAAAAGTACCGATATTTGAATTATGTAAAGCTATAGTAAGAGTATATGAAACTATTTGAAAAATTGGTTCTTTAGGATTCCCGGGGGGGGAAAGTATTCCCGGGGGGGGAAAGGGGGTTCAACGGGGCCGGCACTGTGGCCTACGGGAGGTTGCCCTGGACACCCCAAACCGCGCGCTGATTGCATTCAGCATGGTAAGTGAATACCAAAACGAAAAATAAATAAAACCAAAACAAAAACAAAAACACAATTATAAATGTTATTGCTTTTACTTGTGCTCTCACTAAGTTTCAAGTTCAAATGTTAACTTCCTTTTTTCAGGATGAATTTTGCGTCGCTCTCCAAACTCAGCGAGAAGGAATCGATTGAGTTCTTCGTGCGTCAGGGAATCATTCAAGTACCTCGCTGCGCAGTGCCCACCCACGGTCCAATGAAGCTGACGAGTAAAGGATGTGAAATCTTCCGCTGGGAATGCCATCCTTGTCGATATAAAAAGGCCGACTCCGCAACATTTGGGATCAGGTGTGACAATTGGTTTCAAGGTTCGCAGCTGAAGTTCAATACCGCCCTCAAATTTATCTACCTGTGGAGCCAAGGCACTTCTACCATCAAGTTCTGTCAAGATGAGCTGAAAATGGCGGAAAAAACAACCACCGATTGGACCAATTACCTGAGAGAGGTCTGCGGCGACGCCGTTGAGAAAAACAACGCCAACAAGCACATAGGCGGCCCGGGAATGACGGTCGAAATTGATGAGACTGTCATGGTGAGACGCAAATACAATCGCGGAAGGATCGTGAAGGAAAAGTGGATGTTTGGAGCCATTTGTCGTGAGACAAAGGAACACTTTGCTCTTTTGGTCAAGAATCGTGAGGCCGCAACTTTGTTGCCTATCATCAGGGCCCGTATTGCACCCCGGAAGTCGCATTATTAGCGATGGATGGCGTTCGTATCGTGCCCTCGCCAAGGATCCAAACTACAAATTCAACTGGATTGACCACGGGAAGAACTTTGTCGATCCGGTTGACAATACGATTCACACTCAGACGATCGAGCGGCTATGGCGGCCTTTTAAAGATGCTAATCGCCGCCGCAATGGCACCCACACCGGCTTCACAGAAAGTTACATCAATGAAGGCCTCTGGCGCCTAGCTGTCGGATCCAAGGACTGCGCATTCGAAGCCATTCTCCAGGCCATCAAGGAATTTTGGCCCCCTGGACAAGATCTGAACAACAACCATTAGAACGGGCTAGAATTCCACTTTTTTGGATTCGATTTGCTATCTAATAACTAATTTTTTGCCGGCTCTTTTGTTGTGTTTTCTGAGGAGTTTTACACCCGGGTTTTGAGCAAAAATGCTCTGTATTATTTAATTATTACGACTAGTATGAAACCGTTTATCTGATGGATAGGTTCAAATTTTCGCTGCCTATTGCTTTCCTTCTTCCTTTTTTTTAGTTTTATTCTCTTGTATGACCGGATAAATATTAATGGAAGCGATCCTGTATCCTGGCCATCGATGGGACGTTGAAACCCGGCATCTTTGTACTTTTTTTTTGCACTAATGCTGGCTTCTCAAAAAGATTTGAGGGAAAATTGGGAAAATCGAGGCTTTTGTGAAAAATTTCTTTCCCCCCCCGGGAATACTTTCCCCCCCCCGGGAATCCTAAAGAACCATATGACCATAAAAAACCATAAAAAGAACCATTTCTGAAAAGTACCGATATTTGAATTATGTAAAGCTATAGTAAGAGTATATGAAACTATTTGAAAAATTTAACACAAAAGGCTACCTCAACAAGCGGGCCCAAAATGGCGGATGGAGACTCGGTAGATGCTACGGCAACTCCAAGGAGTGCGACGAGGCAGAGCAGCGAATTCATTTTCTATAAAAAGTAGACTGTATTATTAATATGATTGCTTAATAAAAGCTAAAAAAAACTTTAACGAAAATTTCTATACCTGGTACTTCAGTCTAGAAGTGTGAAGCTCGATCTCCAATAGGAAACCCCGGAATGATCATCAACCACCCCGACGTCCCTTTTATACGGCCCGTTCCTATATTTTTCTGGGCAAACAACATACGGTATCCTCCTCTGCCATTTCTCGAAAGGCATTCCCAGGGGCGGACAGTACGTTCAGTTCCGGCCCTAACCATTTGCCAACAAAAAGGCAACTCGTGGAAAGGGTGAAATGTTGATTTTTCGTGGGTCCTCAACCGCGGGCTTCAGGCACAAAAAATTCGAAAGCCGTCTTGACCTCCGGGATTTTTATTGCGTGTTTGCGGGGGGATGGGGGGTGAACTTTCTGGAATTGAAGGTTACGTGACGGTTGGATGAGTCAGGTTTAGGGATAATGGGTCTTGATATATATTCACGAGCTTGTAAAAAGAGATTTTAGGGAAGATTACACAACTCGTCGAAGTTGTTTCTTTTGAAGCTCCTTCATACGCAATGCAAAATGTGTCGTAGCCAACGTTCCATATAAAAAGAAACTTTTCAGTTCAACTGCTTCCGGAGTGCGCGCACGCAGCGCTCCGATCGGACGCGTTGCGGCCATGCTCTGTTCACAACACCTTTACGGGTTGCAAAACGGACTTCTGCTTGCGATACCCAAAACCCCTTTTAGATTTAGCTTTTGACTTTTGGATTCTACGAATATCTTGAAAATCAATGACTATGAAAGACCCAACACTTCAAAAATCCTGGCTTAAACTTTCGAATTTTTCCGCATCAAGGGAGCCGCGACGGTTTCGCCCCCATCTTCTTCTGGGTACTTTGTGTGCCTAGGGCTTCACCGTCGCAACTTTGCGGTGGGAAAAGTACCCCGGTTTTCGCGGACTATTTGCTGAGGCCTCGAAGGGCAAAAAATTTCCGAACCGAGTGCCCTATCGACGCACGGTTTCGGAGATCGGCATCGTTGCAAGAAAAATATTTCAAGGGGAGCGTGACAGGTCGCTTGAACTTGAAAAAATGGTATCGTCAACGTTGGTTATTTATTTGGCTTTTCGGTTTAATGGCATCTTAAAATCATACTCGCCAGAATACGTGGGATACTGATGGTGCAACACCATAGATCAAATCCCTCACTCCAATACCACACTTATCGTCCTTGCTCCAGATCATTGGTATTCTATCCCTGCAGCGCGCACTTATCGAACCCGTTGTTATTCCCTTCACAAAGAGGAACCCCATTGAATGTGTTGTTTGTGCCCCCGGGGTACGGAAGGGAATGATAAGTGCACCCTAGACCCCGTTAGGGTGCGCCCAGCCGCCCCTATATTTACCGTCCCGCATCGGCTGTCCGTTCATTCGCGCAACGTCCACTCCATTCTTGGTCTTCTAGCCCCCGGGTACTCTCTATTCTACGCTCGCAACTTACCGTAATGCAACAATATCTCTATTTCCTTGTTGGGCTATTTGCCGTTGCTAGCTGCGACATGTCACCGGCCGCTACGCTGGGACCGCTAGTGCAAGTAAGCTGAGGATTCTTACCTAAACACCTTAGGCATTATCTTTTTGATCCGGCTATAATGACGTAATTATGGGAAGGTAGTTACGATGCTAATAATCCATTTTCAGCAATACCAAGACCTCATCTACGCCAAGCAGTTCGACAAACTCGAAGACCTCTACCACCCCCATGCCGTGATGATCATCGACGGCCAGCCCGCTCCTTTCTACACCCCAAAGAGTAAGTTTTAATCGGACTCTAATTGGAATTTTGAAATCTCATTTAAATATATCCATTTAGACATCTTCCAGCAAATCCAAGAATCCCGCTCCAAGATTGGAAACATCAAGACAAGCTTCCTCAAGGTAAGTTCGATACCTTACGCTGACAATTATACCAAGTAACGTGCAAACTAACTCCTAGTTTTCAGGAAACCTACTCCGGCTCCGGCGACATCATGATGTACGAGAACCAGTGGAAGATCCGCACCGGCAAAATTGAGATGACCGGCCCTTACCGCGCCATCTGGGTGAAATACGACGGGCGATGGGTCATCTACCACGAGGAGTTCAGCCAGACCATCAAGCATCTCTAAATTCATGAACTGATCGAATGCATTCCGTGTTTGATACTCACGAATAAAGCTTATTTTCACTACTCAATTTTCAATAAAGACAACAGCAAAAAACATTGCAGTTTTAATAGCGTTTTAATGGGTAGAGCTGAGGTTTAATACGGAGATTGCGCAAGCTTACAAGCGAAAGCTTGTATCGTGTACTTGTGGAAGAACCCATGGCAGAGATTTTTACACCTATCGATTCGAAATTTCCGGATTCTTGGCAGCAAGGTTTAGCGTATTTGTATACCAGGGTACAGACACAAAAGGATAGAAGTACGCCGCGACCTGGTTTTGGCATACGCACCATATTTGCATACCAATGTTATTCAGAGTCGGCCCGCGGTCAAAGTCCATTCAAATGCCTCTTCAAGTGTCCGTTGATACACAAAACTACCGGCAAAAAATAGCGGTTCGGAAATTAATCGGGATTTTTGACTTGCTGAGATGCCAATTTTTTCGTAATGAGGTCACGGATTATCCTACCAGCTTTTGCAGCAAAGCATCTTCCCATTGCTGACAATATGGCATTACATTACGTATCTTATCTTCATCCCCAGCCACAAGACCAAGAAATCAACTTCTGCAAAATTATCGCCATATCCCTTTTTGCACGCACCCACAGTTCATTTTGTACACTTTTTATCTATCGGATTGAAGTGACCGAGCCGGCCGATTCGCCATCAATACAGCGGCGCTTTTTTGGCCTTCCCGGTCTCAAATATCAATAAACAACAAACGGAACGGCCGTTCCATTAGCTGGCTCGCTAAACATTGCCCCGGAAGCCCCCCGGGGCCGGAATGTGATTTTTAGAATAGCTAACGATTTTTGGGATTTTTGGTTATTTTTAGGACTAAACTCTAGTCCCCCTGAACCGGAAATTCGGCTTTTTAACCTAATAGTTAGGCGTTTCATTTTATGCTGTTTTTAACCTTATATATAATTTATCCAAAATCTAAAAATATTGTTCTGCCTAGGCAAAGCTTTTGGTATGCTTAACAGCGCTTTATCGAAAAGCCGAGCCGAGATAAAAAAATTCGGGCCGGTTAGGTAAATTAGAGTCCTACAATTTTAGGTAATGCATTGCGCGGCCTATTGTTCTGCAACCGGTGGCCGCTGCCTTTGGATGCAAACCTATTTTGAGTAGGGGTTTTGTTGAAATAAAATAACCATATTCTTGTTCAGGTGCTCCTGCAAATATCTCTTTTGGTGTCGTATCCACAAGGCCGTTCAAGGTATGTGAGCTTACAGAATAGCAACTGTCAAATTGCAGTAATCTCGCTGCAACTCTCCGAGCTACCGACGCCAATTTTGATAATAGTCTTAACGGTGATACTGGTGGCTATTTCTTTGCTGGTTGCGATCATGATCTGGTATGTTAAAGGAAAAGAAGATAATGATATCCAGTATCGTCTAGGGGGAGGCCTACGATTCCGGGCCAATCGTCGTCGCTACCGACAGTCGCTAGCTTGCAGCAATGGTCGAAAACCGTTTTAGAAAGGCGAAAAGTTATCTGTTTAGTATTGATAAAGTTTATGAACCTGTGTTAATACATTAATTTACATTTTTAGGTCGGCCCGCCTCAGTACTGAGTTAATTTCCGGATTTGTTAACTTCGGGCTACCCCTTGTGCGCTCCCTCCCCATCGCCGAAACGCGCGCGACCTCTCACTATGTCCCCCATTCCTTTTACTGAGAAAAACTTTCAAAGTTTAATTCAATAATTTAATAAATAAATGAAAATGAATAATTATTTATTTCATAGTTTTTTTATCAGTATAGGGGTTTCTGACCACGCTCTATCCGAATCAGAAGAGAGCTAGCTCCTTTCCCCTTCGAGTTGAATTCGGCTTCGGACAGACACACGGAAACCACAACAAAACCATTTTAGTTGATATGTTGAGAAATATATACTGCGACTTTCTGCTCTTTATAATGCTCAGTAAGCGTGCAATCACGAGAATTCAACACTTGCTACAGATTATTTATTAACAGCTGCATAAGGTTGCGCATAATCGGAAAAGCATTACGAGAAAGGGTGAGAAGCTCAGATGGAGGGAACCGGAGAGTTTACTAGCAAGAGCAATTTTCCTCTTTAATAAGAGTGGTGTCTGTGGCGCTTGGTCTGCGAGTACTCCTCGTGGTAGATGACCCAGCGGCCCTCGAACTTGACCCAGACGGAGCGGTAGGGGCCGCTCAGTTCGAAGTTAGCTGAAAATGGGAGAATAAATTAATGTTATTGAGGAGTGTCATGGAATTCTAGACAATATTCCAAGATTCTAGAATTAGGCCTAGTGTTATATACCAATGCTAGTGATAGATATTACAAGGTTCAAATTATTCACTACTTACAGGTAGTGATCTTCCACTGGTTCTCGTACATGAGGATATCGCCGGCGCCGCTGAAATCCTCCTAAAAGAAATAAGAGAATTAATCTCATAATTCTTATAATAATATTAAGGTTTTTATGAATGTTTGTAAATGTATCAAAAAAACTAATCACCTTCAGGATGACGGTCCTGGCGTTGTCGACCTTGGAACGGGCGTCCTTGATCTCCTCGAAGATTTCTGAAAATGGGAATTTATATTTCCTGAAAGTTCTTCAGAAAATCGGAAACGATTATAGTTTCTTCTAAAAAATCCTTACTGTCAGGGGTGTAGAAGGGATTGGGCTTGCCGATGGCGACGAGGACGGCATTCGGGTGGTAAAGGTCCTCGAGCTCGTCGTACTTTCCGGCGTAGATGAGGTCTTGATATTTCTGGAATTATAATGGATGCCTAAGGCTTTTAAGGACAGGCTGCAAAAAAACATATTAAAGATATCCTCAGTAAAAATGAAACAAACCTGGACCAGAGGGGCCAGGGTCCTGGCCGGCGAGTTGTTAGAGCCGGCGGCGGCGATGCCGACGAGGGCGACGAGAAGGAGAAGTTTCGTCATTTCTGAGAACGCATACTAGCATAAGAGGCTATATTAAAAAAATTTAAATAGTATATTACGGGCTGTAACCTTTTAGGTACCAGGAACACCGGCCATAGCTTGAATCTCGTATGAAAATCAGCTATTAACTAGTGCGCTGCTACGCTCCAGAAACCTATCGGTTTAAAAATTTCAAGGTAGGCAAACAGTGCAAATCTTCAAAAACCACCTACCGTAGCCGATTTGTTGCAAGAGGGTTGATTGATAGGAGAATCGCCTCGCGCTGAATGACCATCTCCCCTCCCCCATCCACTTAAATACCGAACACTTGGCAACCGGGGACAAACAAATGCCATCCCACTCCCCAGCTTGAAATCCGTAATTTCGCCGCGGCACGGTTACTTTCAGCCCTAACCATGCGCTAAAAAATGCAACTCTGGGTAGGATAGGTACGTGTTGACTTTTCCACTCTATCAGCCTCCGGTTGCGCAACAAAAGTTATACAAAAACGCGGGCTTTCCGTGGGGGTTTCCCGAATTTGTTCCACTCAAGCGGTTTAGGGTTTCGAAACGTATGTCTCGCCTAGTTACCGTAACCTAATGCCTAATTTATTGGTAGTAGCTGAAGTATGGAATCTATGTATGGGGTCAAACTCGGAAATTTCTATTTCCCCGACTTTGATCCAAATTTGATTAATGGTGATCGCAAATTTGCTATGTATTTTCAAATCGTGGGCTCCATTTCGCCATTTTACGGCCGTTTCTAGTGTCTTTACTGCGCTGTCAGGCTAGGCCGTATTTATACCTTGGCTAACAAGGCCAGTGCTTTTAGTCATAGGCAAAGCCTTAGGCGAGACCTAGGCTCATTCGATAGGACAAGGCGGCGTTTTCCTTTTTTGCGGAATGGCTATCCCTAATTTTATGAATTTTGAATTCAGGCCAGGCCGCCGAGTCTTAGGCCCGACTAGCTAAGCTTAAACTTTTTTCTTCCTTCTGTATCTCCCCATGCTGGGCCAGATTAATGACAGTGGGTCCAGATCTGCCCTCACCCTCGGGGCAGATCGGACGAGCGGGCAGAAAAAATCCCGGTGTGTTGACAGCCATTTCGAATAGGTAAAACCGTATATTAAAAGTTGACAAATTTTCATGGCAATTTCCTGCTACCCGCTTTGATCTCCCATTTTACGGGTGAGTGCCGTCCATGTTGATTTCTAGTGTCTGTGCTGGCTGACAAACGGCCGGCAAACAAAAATTGGGCGGACACGCGTGGGAAAGTGAGAGAGAGGGATAGACGTCGAGAATTAGAGAAGTTAAACTTAAACACGCGCACCCCTCGATTACAAATGATCATCAGCAAGAGGTTGAGCTTTGTGATCATCGCCAGGGTGGGGTATATAAACACGGGCTAGCATGGGCTTGGTCAAGAAGTCGAACTTCGATTTGCTAAAATGGTCATCACCGGGATTCACAGCAAGGTGTTGAAGAAGGGTCAGTTATGTTAATTTTTTTTGATTTGAAATGTAGGATCATATTTTAGAATTTGATTTAGGAGATCCATGCCCTCCGCTTGTTGCTGGACAAATTCGTCTCTACACAATGCGATTTTGCCCCTGGGCCAAGCGAGTTATTATTACTTGCGCTAAAAAAGGAATTGAGTAAGTTTAAATAAATACCTAAGCTCATCTTTTATCTAATGTATATTTAACTTCGATCACGCTTTCAGTCTCGAAGTCGTAAACGTAAATCTGATGGACAAGCCCGAGTGGTACTTCCAAAAGCATTACGCTGGGAAAGTGCCATGTTTGGAGGTCGATGGAAAGGTAGAAATAAAGCAAGATATTCCAGTAAACGTATTTTTAGTATGTAACCGAGTCTTGGGTGATCGTGCAATACCTCGAAGATCGTTTCGCGAAGAACCCAATTTTGCCAAGCGATCCTTTCGAACGTGCGAACCAGCGAGTTATTGCCGAGCGTAATGTGGCGGTGAGTTTTTTTTAGCTGGGCAAGCTAGCAGAAATTAGCAGATTTCGGGAATCAAGCAGCAATAGACATAGTGGATATGCCATCTAAGACTCCAAAAAAATCAGAATTTCCAGATCTCTACAGCTTTCCACAGCATTATGGCCTCGTTCAAAGATGACTCGGTTCTAGAGGAGGGGCTTGAGAAGATGGCTGTAGCTTTTGAAGATGCCGAAAAGCTTCTGAATGCTGACTACTTTGCTGGTAGAATAATTAGAAAGCCTTTTTAAAGCTTTTTTCAGGCTCCGAACCCGGCTATGCCGACTACCTGACCTTTGCCTTTGTCGAAAAAATGTGGTGGTGCGCGCACATTGATGGGTACAAGGCTTTTGAGGTGGAGGTACGTAGGTTTAGTTAAGCTAGCATTTTACCTCTTAATTAAGGAATTTTTAATCGTTCTGATTTTAGAAATTCCCATGTGAGAAGCGTTATCCAAAGCTGACAAAATGGTTTGCGTTGATGTTGGCGAAGCCGGAGGTAGCAATTATTTCTCTAAAAGCTCTTAAAAATCTCAATTTTCCAACAGAGAATGCATCCTTATAGCGTTTTTTTTTCAGTTCAAAGAAAGCCAAATTGACGTGAACACCTTTGTCCGTTTCCTCTCGTCTTTCAAAGCCGGAAACCCGGATTATGATATCGATTTGTCAAGTGAAGAATCTGATAGAAAAAAATCATTTATTCGAATTCGAAAACGCATAACCAAGAGAACAAATAATGAATGCCAGCACGACACCTCCAGTTCTCCCACCAGCCTGAAAGTAATTTACCGCAACACCGAACACCCGAGACCTTTTTCTCCAAAACCTCGCACATGCCATAATTTTTCTGGATGTAATTCTTGTCGGTCATCGGGTTAGCTGTCTAAAAAACGTTTGAAAGGGCGCCTACACATTAAATACAAAATTGAACCATCCGGTGTATTTCTTCTCTATGGCGCTGAACAGCTCGGAAACCGTCTTCGACAAGGAACTATCCTAAAATGTAAAAATTTAAAAATTCGAACTTGTTAATAGAAACCTGAACTATAACAACCCGGACTATAACCTCGTTCTTAACAAATTCTCCCATGACATCCTCCCAAAAAGCCGACACGGTAGTGAGGTTATATTGGCTTATAACTTTAACAAAACAATGGTAACAAAATATCAATGCGTAACCAACTTTCATCATAATCGAGCGCAAACAGAAAAATTACGGCCGGCTGAACTTCGGGTTTTTCGACAAGACCACGCTTCAAGAAACAGACCACTAATTCCCTAATATCATCTAGGGTCTGGATTCTAAATGTATTATAATTATTATTGAGCAATTAGGGCAATCTTGCAAAGACGATTGGAGAATCTCGGATGAGTCCAAAAAAGTTCTCCCACGTATCATTCTGCACGATATATTGATAAATCGGTCCATCAACGCTCTTCTCCGCCAAAAGCTCAGTCATGTTGTAAAATTCATCATTCCGATTGATTTCTATATAATTTTTTGTATAAAAGCAAAATTGCACTTGCACTCACGCCATGAGCGACTTGGAAATGCGACGTAGCTGAAAATTTAGAAGTTATGACGGGAATTACGATAGGGATACCTCTCATTTTGAGCTGTACTATGTTGGCTACACGGTGTGACAATTTCTTTTGAGGCTTCGAACAATCTTAAAAAGGTTTAAAATAAATAATATTGCTCGAAAAAGCACCGTTTTTGCATATCAACGTCCCCCAGGCTTTTGACAAGCGGGAAAATGTATGCAAAGTAGCGGGAAAGGCATTGGAATTTGGCTTTGTCGACGTTTGTCGCTACTAAAAATTCATAATTACCGATTGTATTGTTGGTTTTATTTATCCCAGTACACGACTATAATTTTTTTTGTATTTTCATGTAAAAGCAAAATTCATTGTTTAACTGGCCCTTGACGATTTCCAAAAATTTACAGTTCCGACACTCCATCGTGATCGCCTCTGATAACCCAAAAAATAACAAAACCAAGGCCGCATTCATCTTGCTAAAAATGCAAATTTTAATACGGTCGTTTACAATCCGAAGGAATACAAAAAAAAGCATTTTCTGTAAGTGTTCAAAAGATAGAAAAACCGTCCATAGAAATGTGAAAGTGTTGCTGTTATCTAACGCCGGGATTTGGGCGGGCATCAACTTTCTGATGGTAGATTACGCAGGTGTAGAGCGTAATCCTGAAATGGAACCGGGATTGGGACACCAGCGGGAATTTCTTTATCTTTATTTCTTGTGAATATCTTGCAAGTTCGCAGGTTATTTTGGTCCTCGCAATCTTGCGACTTGACCGATTAAATTGCACTCGTCGTGGTTGGCGGCCAGCTAGAATGAAAAATCAATAAAGCCATTGTAAAACCGAGAAATCTATAATGTTTGGACAATCTATGAGGTCAATTCAAAAAAGGACATAAACTTACATATAGCTGACGCATCCGACTGCTGGCCGGGCATTTGAAAGCCTCGTGGAATGAGGTGAGAAGAGATGTAGGTGCGTTTATCCTCACATAGCCCAGCGAATGGGGGTCAGCCCTGAAAAAGCAATACTAATTGTTGCATGTGATAGCTGTGCAACGCAATGCTACTTTACCCTACTAACGATGGATAATCTGTAAGGCTATGTAAAACTCACTGATTAGGCGGGGTGCGGCGAAACTGGTCGTCCCTGCACTGGGTTGCGGCGTAGGTGTAGAAGAACAGTTGTTGACGCGTCATGTTGAGGTCGTGGTACGGTTTTTCCTAAAAACAGCAACGCCGTCTTTAGTAAATTATTGGGCAGAAATCAAACAGGGCAATTTAGGGATCAGTCTGTGGACGCCTATGAACGCTTATGTCGATTTTCTTAGTGTTAAAAACTGTCTTTCCTAGCTATGACTATTGAACGATGCCCAATCTGTCATTTAAGGCGCAAAACGTTACCTCCAACTTTCCATATTCTTTCAGCATCATATAGGAAGCTTGTAGACCCTCAAAGTCTGGCGCATCTTCTCCGTAGGTGAGATCCCCGCTGTGTGCAACGGCTTCCTGAAAAAAATTCCAACACTCCGACACTTTTTGGTATAACCCTAAGTTTTGAAAAGCGGAGAGCCGTTTCACACAGGAATGCCTAATATAAGAATTGAATAAGCAAATCGCCTTACCTCTTCGTTGATAAACGCTTTCTCCACCCTCTCCACATGTTGGATATAACAACGCTGACGGCGCAGCATTTCTTTGTCATGCGGCAAGTCCCTTTCAGCGAAGAAAACGGCATGGTATATTTCGTGAGCCGCAACATGATAGGTGAGACCTTGCTTAAATATCAGGACGATTCGCGCTATACGCTACGCACCATACCTTCACCGCAATATCAGAACGCAGCGTGTCGAGAATAGCCACCGGGAAAAATCGATAGGTGTTTGTGGCCATTTTGTAGTTTGAACCCATGATGATGGGCGAGAGGATAAGGTCTACAGTATCCGGTATCATCGTCACCAATGCCTCGATGATACCCGCGACGGCGTTCCCGCGTGCACTATCGGTGCTAAAACCCCCCAAGAATACCGTATTTCTTTATTGCATTTCTCAATGTGGTTTTGCTTACTTACCCATTAATCCGAACTTGTTGCTGATACGCCTTTTCCAACGTGTTGTACAACTTCCCGAGCGGATCCGCATTGCTTTTGGCGATGTTTGAGAACAGATTCACACTATTAAGGCCCCAAATGACTTTGTCAAGCACCTTTTGGGTCTCGGTTGATAAGAAACGGCTTGCCTAAAAATATAGACCAGATAAGATATTGAGATAAGATATTTTAATATCATGAAAATCATAAATATTTCACTTACCCCGACTTGATCCTGCACAACACGAGCCAGCTTGCTAATCGGCGCCCTAATATTCGCCAACTCGTCTTGTTCAGATGGTGTTAATTCTTTTGCCAGATATTGCTGGAGCGCGGACAATTGTCGGAGATGCGTGATGAAATCGAGTGTTGCTGGAATCATTTAGATTTTTTAAGATCACTGAATGCCTTGGTGAACTAACTGACAAGTTCAGCTAAAATTCATACTGTCAATTCCCGGCACTCCCTTCGCCTTTAGCCCATCCAGCCATTTCTAAGGTTATCTAGCGTGTCAGTAAAATAAGTTTTCAGGATACCTCAAGAGACGACTTTTCGATCAGGTTATTGATATAGTCAGTGATTTCCTTCGAGAATCCGTCCTGCATCACGAATGGGCCGGCCGAGGTCTTGGGAGGGCAGACCTGAAATGACTCAATCGTTAGCAAGCAGGGGCGTACACGAACCCGATTTTTGGGGGGCCGGGGGGGCAACTCGAAAATTTTTTGTCGACCTCCCCCCCGTCACCACTTTCAAAACATTCAAAAAGCGCAGCTATAACAGCGCCGCAGGCCGCAAAAAATAAGGAAAAAGCGTTAGAATTCAGGTAAAAATATCACAGAAAACGCGCCGCAGGCGAAAATTTTAGATGGCACTAATGAAACACTAATGAAAAACAGCGCCGCAGGCAAAAAAAATTTGGAAAAATAGGCTTCATAGAAGTAAAAACCGTCTTAGAAACAGTAATAAACCGCGCCGCAGGCAGAAAAATTTTATTGAAAAAATCATAAGGGTCCCCCCTTATGAACTTTTCGGCCTTCGGCCGATTTTGGGGGGCAACTTGCCCCTGTTGCCCCCCTCGTACGCCCCTGTAAGCAAGCAAAAGCCTAATGTTTCTGGACGGTTCGGACACAGCCTATCTGGTGCACAATTTTGCCTGGATTCCAAAGCAGCTTTCGGAATTTTCAAAATCCATAGGTTAGAGAACTACAAAGCTTTTAAGAGTGAAAAAGACAGCGAAAAGACTTAATTTCAAAACTTTTTTTTGCGCCAGTGATCAGTACCACCTCCAAAAAAACCCAACTTACATGCAGAAAAAAATTCTCGCAAGGATTCCGATGCCAATCAACATTGTGCTTCAAAAATTCGTAGATAGGCTCGGTGAGCTTGGGAAGATTCTTATTTGGAACAGCATGGCAGAAACCGCCCGCAAATATGGAGAGAAAAAGTACTATGTGAAACATTTCTGATTTTTTGGCGAAAACGTTTCGGTATTTATGAAGACCGAAATCACCGCTTTTCTACAGAGAATATATTTTAGTGACAGCTCAACCGAATTTTCAAAAGATTTAAAATCTGAGCCGAATGGCGTGAAAGGTTGTGAGCTGAATCAGGGCCCGGACGTTTCCCGGGTTTTTTTTAGGATGGTCGTTTCGTTGAATTGTCGCAAATAAATGGAATTGGCAGTTGCTGGTCTCTTATCAACGCTACACCCACGATTTCTTTTTCAACTCCGAATTTTGGGACTCTGGCCTTAAGTTGCTAGAAAGGTACCTGGTAAGGCAGGTTCAACGATTTCAAGAAAGACGTTGCCAGATCGTCCTCCAAGGCGGTTTTTAATAAATTTATCCCAGAGCGAGCTGTTCTCACCAGGGTCGTTCATTTTCAGGTCCATTCCGTTGTCCGCCCGCTTCCGGACCCGTTCCGTTGGGAATTTTTTTTAACATTTTATGGTTATGGCTTTCGGCCTGATTTCATGATGGAATATTGCCTAAGGGCACACAGATGTTTTTGCGCCATCCGCTATTGTGTAATCGTTTTCTAGATCGTGGTGGACGGGCGATCCATGTTCGACCATTGCGCAAAATGTAGACTACGCGTCTGTACAAATTACATACGGGGTTACAGGGATTCGGCCAAGACATGAAAGAACAGCACAAAAAGTCGGGCAAAGCACAAGACACAAAATACAATTCGGAAATGGATAGGATATCTTCTGAAAACAGCGAAAAATTTCTTTTGATGTTTTTGGAATTGTCTCGGGCTCAATCAAGAAAAAAACCGCCTACACATTTGTCACTTTCAATGGATTTGAAAAGTTAATCAAAAGATACGAAAATAGGTTGCAATTATGCAAACATTTATTCTACTTCCAAACATTGTCAAACTGCCTGAAATATATTGCCGTTTGCTCGGTGCAGGCGAAGGTGATTTTGTGGCCATCAGCGCTGCGCAGATCTTGCACCGGGCTTGTCTAACAATAAATTAAAAGGATCTTCAGATGCATTTTTCCGGTACCTTTGAACTTCCAAACAACGCATAAAAACTGGTCCGCAGGTCGTGAGCATAGAATATAAGGAGCCAGATTTGTAGGACATGCTCAAAACATTGTAAAAATATTTGTAGCGTGTAATTAAACGTGTGTGTAAGGTTATAAAGTTTATAATATACAGGGTGAGGCATATATATGGCAACACCCCCAGACCAACCTAATTTGCCTGCTATCGGAAAACTAATTAATTTTTCGGGGGGATTGGACGTTTCCCATAAAAGAACTAGCGTTTCTTTCTGCAGGAGACAAATGAAAACGGTTGCAAAATTTTTAATTTTTGATTTATAGTAGCGGGAAGTTTAGCGATTTTGTCGAAAAAGCAGTGTGTTGGCACGCTGCTCCTAGAACCCCGGAAATTGATAGCCCAGCTCCATGGTTTTGTAATTAAGTTTAGTTTGATCGTATTTATTTTTACCAAAATTCTTTTAGTCGGGAACTGGCGAGGGAATTTTGCTATATTCAAAAAACGCGCGCTTACCCACCCCTCACCACCCTTACGTTGACCACTAAAATTAATTATAAAACCCCTACCAATTGTATTGTTTTATCTAAGCAATTTTTTACATTGTAGGCATCGGATTGAACCAATTCCAGATGTTGAAACCAAGCAATTCAACGATTAAAGATCAAAAAGGCAATTTTACTTTTTTTACTATGATTTTTGGGACCAGCCGAGAACAATTCTAAAATTTCCGCCTACTTAAAGGAAATGAATTGTTTTAATTACCTTTATCTGTCACTACTAGGTGGTACACATGTTTTTTGGGGCCGTTCGTGCCCAAAACGACGTTTCTGGACCATGCTGAAATTGGCTTCAAAGGGGTTCCGTGCCAGCGCCACCCTTACGACGCACAGTTTTTGCTTCAGAACAAAAATTTGTAGGGTTGCTGCGTTCTAATATTTTAAGAGTGGTTACAGGACACTGGTGGCTATATTTCGGCAAATTATTGAAGCCCAGCCAGCTTTCTTCATTTTTTGAGAGACCCGGGAAAGTGTTGCCATATATATGTAGATAGAAGTGTGTAGTAAATAAGTATAGCCCTCACCTCAGCCGAAAAGAAATAAAATAAGATATAGGTATAGAAGGTTTGTGTATAGACCGAGTGCTCGACTAATAGCTGATAGATCAGGATGCCAATGACAACGAGGGCAAGTTTATAAGGCCAGATATGCAGGAAGAGGCGTGACGTTTTGAAATTTATTTGGGTTTTGTTGTGGTGTCAGCTTTGCTGGACCACATTAGATCCTCTTTCCCGGCTGTCCCTCCTATCCAGTGGGTAAGCCACCGGCGCGCGCCCCCCTGCGGTCGCGTCGCGTGCGCCACTCCCCGCCTATGACTAGATTGTATTATCTCGTGGCGGGTCCACTTATCGGCACAGACTAGCTCTGTTGCCGATCCTCCTCCACCATTTTGTAGATAAACAGTTGTTCGATAACTGTACGTCCAGCGCATTCTACATCGTTCGACTACTCTTTTCGGGATCACAACAACTGGCGAGCAGGATCAGAACTCACGCAAGATCAAGGGATGCCCCAGCCAAGAAGCCACTGAGCCCGAAAACGTGATCAAGGATGAAGAAAGAAGGTGGAGAAGCGCGAAGTCAAGTCGCCGACGAGACAAGGACCAAGAAAGCGACAAGGTCAAGGAGAGCGACAAGGTCGAGGTCAGGGACGTCTACATGGTTGGCAAGCGACAAGAGAAGGCATGGCGAGAAGATCATGAGCAGAGCGTGCTGATGCCGGCGGGCCCATCGATGGTGATGTGCCGGTGCCGCTCGTGCAGGATCAATGGAAGGGAGGTGTTTTTCCCTTTTTGCCCCCCATTTCCGGGTGGGGGGCACGCTGCCGTTGTCGAAGAAGGAGGAGGGTGCAAGTGCCTGAAGTGCCCGGCGACCGGCCGCCGTTTGCCCCAGGACCGCCACAAGCCGCGAAGGTAGCAGAAGATGAGGATTGGTTGTCCTCATCCACGAAAGGACCGAAGGAGGTGCGCGTGTAAGCCCAAGGCCGCGTCTACAAGTGAAGCCGAAGAAGGAAAGAAGGAAAAGAAGGTCGACAAGAAGGGGACGTGTGAAGGCGATGAAGGTGAAGGATGGACGTTGTCGGTGATCGCCTCGCTGCGCGTCATCAAGGAGTGAAGGAATAAGCAGATAAATTTTTCTTGAACTTTATTGTCTTTTCACTCGATTCCTATCCCGGTCCCTCCAATCTACCTTGTTTTTTGTGTGGGGAGGTGTTGTGGGGCCGGCTCGTGGACCACATTAGACTCCGCCTTCTCTGTTCCACCTGTCCCATTTCTCCTAGAAATTCGTACTTTGTTTTGTACAAGGGGAGGTGTTGTGGTGTCAGCTTTGCTGGACCACATTAGATCCTCTTTCCCGGCTGTCCCTCCTATCCAGTGGGTAAGCCACCGGCGCGCGCCCCCCTGCGGTCGCGTCGCGTGCGCCACTCCCCGCCTATGACTAGATTGTATTATCTCGTTGCGGGTCCACTTATCGGCACAGACTAGCTCTGTTGCCGATCCTCCTGCCACCATTTATGTAGATAAACAGTTGTTCGATAACTGTACGTCCAAGCGCATTCTACATCGTTCGACTACTCTTTTCGAGGATCACAACAGGTTTTATACCTTCAAATTTTTCTGGGTTTTCAAGCTTTGTGGATTTGATACCTCGCATCCACAGTGGCGCATTTTCGCTCGTAAGTCTCGCGATACTGTGCTTGGCATGCTTTGTAGAGCCATATGAAAAACTATAAGCAAAACTTTACATTATAGGTGCCATTGGCAAAAACTTACAAGTGTCGCGAAGAACAATCCGTACATGGCCCAAACGGGAAGCAGCCCGGCGTAATTGATAGCGCATAGCCAGATGAATACTAGGGTCTATAAAATATATCTTAGCACTAAAAGTTCAACTTAATTTAAGCTTACTGTCCAGAATATGATCTTCTTCCCTAGAAAAGTATTGGTATGCGCATCTTCATAGGTATCCAAATTTTTGGTAGCGATATACCGCTCGATGCCCATAGCAAAAGTGACGTTGGTAGAAGCGCCAACAACTAGCCTAAGAATTTAGAAATGTTAGAAGTATTGAAAGTAAAATTAAAAGGCTTACAAGTCTCACTGAAGAACGATAGGACCATGAAAAGCATAGGATCATCTAATTTGCCGCTGAGTTGAAGCCCATGTCGTATGAACCGGAAGGTTTCGGATAGGAAGACGAACATCGGTTGAACGAGTAAAATAAAGGTAAGGTTTGGATGAAAGAACTAAATAGGAATCAGATGACTAATTGGCATAAACACTTCAACCTACCCGTTTCTTTCTTAACAAATAACAATAGGGAACGTACGATAGGACAAGTGACATCAAAAACAGGAATTCCACAGCCTAAATAAAAAAATGGTTAGATAGCTCTAGGTAACATTAGGATACCATCATTAACGTAAGATATTGTTGGGCGTAGGCATGGGGGACAAGGGTCCCGTGTTCGACCATTGGACGAAATTGTACACTCGTAGCAGCGTGGAATCAGAATCGCAAAAAGTACAAAACTCACTCCGGGGAATTCGAGCCAGACACGAAAAATCAGATATAGCAAAAACACTAATTAGAGCGTCGGAAATTCGTGGAATTAGCTACGACATGGAAGAATCAAGTACAATGCCTTGACTTCGTAGCATTAAATGTGTACCAAAGTCGCAACGGAGAACTATCGCTACCAAATATTGTGAATTCTACGCAGAAATCTGATCCCTAATGTTTTGAGACGCGTATCCATTGCATGATCCGGAATTCGGGCAGAAAGAATTCCAGAGGCTGCGAAAAAAAATCCAAGCGCGCGGCCTGTGTGAAAATTCACTCGAAAATGTGTCCAATATATAATTACTGGAGTGGTTATTTATTCTGGCGTGGGTTCCCACATAGTTTGTAATTGCTTGAAATAGATGTCGCCCTCTTCGGCGTTGGCAAATTTGAGGCGGTGACCGATGGCGCTTCTGAGGGAATCTTCTTGTGCGGGAGCTATCTGGAATTTAGAAGTTTTAGATCTGCGTTCCATACGATAGTATTGTCCAAATCTAGAACCCATTAAACACTATACCACAAGTCATACCTTTGGATTAATCATTGCGGAAAATCCCCATCTCAACTCTGGATCGTAGAATATTAACAGCCACAATTGAGCCGTATTCTAGAATAGATTGACACTTAGAGCTCTAAAAATCCTACTAACCTCTATGGTGAACATATAGAAAAGCAAATATGTATAAAATGTCTGATAAAAAAGATCATCAACATCAATGAAATATTGATAATAGAATATATTCCATAGTGCCGCCACGCATTTGTATGGTAACAGGTGAAGGAATAGCCTAGAGGCTTTGAAGTTTATTTGAGTTTTATATCTAGAAAAACCTAATTGTAAGCATTTTCTAAAAATTAGATATACCTTGCCTCAACGGTCGCGTACTTCTTTGCATAGACCTGTCTAAATTGTGCGCCACACGTTTTATGGAGCCAAATGAAGAACTAAACATCGTTTTTGAAAATCTATCGCTTCAAACGACCGCTGCGGCGAAAAATTGTGGTGTATAAATATTTAGCCAGCACAGCCAGCGCGGCAATACGTGAGCGTACAATATAGCCGTCATCACGGCAAATATTATTGGCTAAGCAAGTGCCTTCCGAATGCAAATGCCGACTTACTACAAATGCCGCTATTTTTCGCCCTAAATGGTTGTTCTGATGTCGGTCCTCATAGGTATCCAGGTGTTTTGTGGCGATGTAACGTTCGAAAGCGATGGCAAACGTCATGTTGAAGGAGGAGCCAACAACTGGAAAAAGCTTCTATGAATTTCACGACTTGCTCTACTGTACTTCTCCTTGCATCTAATGGGTATCTAGAATCAAGAGCTTACGGAAATTTGCACTTCACGTCCAGATTTGCATTTCTATGGCCTAGTAAACCACGATTTATGTGTTTTGAAATATTGCGTAGCTGGCTAGGTCTGTTCGATCAGAGGGGTCAATCCCATATAGCCACTATTATTCCGGTTTCCATGCCCTACTTACGTATCTCACTGACAAACGATAGTCCTTGGAATAGGCGCGGATGCCGTATATTCCCACTCAATTGGAGAGCATGCCGTAAGAAACGCACGAATTCGGCCGACATCACCAGAATCGGCTGGTAGAGCAGGAATAGGGTTAGGTTTGGGTGGAATCTCTTCAAAATAACGATCGTCGTAAAAAATCCGGGATTTACCCTCTTCTGGGTCAAGAGCTTGTAAAATGGTATGTAGCAGATGATGAGTAATATCAGTAACAGCAATTCGACAAGCTATAATCGTCAGAGTTGCTAGCGTTGGCATTCAGCCTTCAGCTCCATTAAGAAGAATGGCAAGGTATTATTATAGCTTTGTTTTACTTAATGTCCTTACCATCATTTCCGGAAAATGCTCCTCCATAAACGCCGGATGGATATAAATTCCAAACTCGTGCATTTCTGCAGCCGGATCGATTGTCAAAACCGGACCCCCGGGGGTGACTCTAAATTCTCAATAAAAGGGAGCTAAAAAGCCTGTAATCAATGGTTACACAATAAATACCGAGTACGTACCTAAAATAGCGAATACGGACGAAAATCAAAGGCTTATCCCCGAGATGGTCGGTCTGGCTGGGGAAGTAAACCCGGATGAGGTACGTACGGTACTGCACTTTGTACCGACGCACAAAACCCACGATAATCAGGTCGAAAAATCTTTGGGGCGGGAAACGGCGCAATTTTTCACGCAACACACAACTGAAAAGCTAATCCGGGCGCAAAAACTGAAGAGATGAAGAAGCTACCCTTGCCAAATTGCGCCTTGAATGGGGCTGATTTTGGCGGATTCGGTGGATTTATGAGAATTGCATGTTGTGGCTTTCGTGGTAATAACACAAATTTCTTGGGAAAATCGGCTATTTGGGGTGCGAGTCATTAATTTTGGAACTTATAAACTTTGAATTGGTAGTTTTAATTTGGTATAAGCTGCGCTCCCTCGTCGAGATACTGTTAAAAATATTTTTGCATGGTTGTCTTGACCCGCCAGTCGAAAAGGGCGACTATGCACTTTCTCGCGTCTTTAGCAGGCTTCTAAATAATACTAAATAAATAGTAAAAATTTTTATTATTTACCAGCGCTGACCCCCCTCTACGCGGGGGTTCAGCGCCGGCCTTCCCCGTTGTGTTGTAATTTGTGTAATTTTGTGTTGTAAAAATCGCTTAATTCAACGATTATTGGATTATTTCTGGTCCGGAGAAAATTTCTTCAGGTAAAGAAGGCCTACCGAATCATTTTCACTTAATGTCTAGGGGGTCTAACTCCACGGAAGCCCGATGAAAAATGGAAAATAAAGTTTATTTTCGTTATAACTTTAAAAATTCCGTAGCTATGGCGCTAAAAGTCGGGATTGTTGTTATTTGGGGTATGATACACCTCTGGTCCAAATTTGGGGCCGGTTGGATGTAACACGGTGAAATGCCAGATGGGTCGTTTTTTTTGGGACACCCTGTACTTTACTTTACGTTTGTTTTACTTTCCGCTGATGTATCGTATACGTTACGCACTGTAACGTATCATATGGTAACTTCTGCATTTCATTTTCTGCAATTCAAACCGACCACGTAAAGGACGTAGGCTGCGAGGAGCAAATCAAGGCTATTTACGTGTTGCAAGACTCCGGTCTAAAAATAAGAATCGGGATTTTGCGTAAATATTTTTGAAACACGTGACCTGAACCTGGCAGACTTGAACGCCCTGACCGCTAACAAACCTCAGAGTTTCCTTTAAATCGTAGTCGATGGCAATTTGAAAGGACTTCAGGATCGACTGAGAACCGCTGATAACCTCCAAAATCCGCCTGGCAAGCGCGACTGGAGGCATTCGTATGCAAAAAACCTTTTTTCTTTCTTTGTATTTAATATGAGAAAACCCCGATTCGCATGCAAAAAATGTCGACATTACGACATTTTGGTACCATGATTTTTCGAGATTATGATAGCACATCCTAGGAGCTTGTAATGCCTCACCCGAGAGTTGCAAACCATCCTTTTTTCGTTGTTTTTTTGACGTGGAGTGCTCAATTACCTGACGTTTTCATACAGTTCACCTTGTATAGGAGCTATTTCCGACAGGATGTGGGTGCTTTCCGTGTCCTGGTAAGCAGCTGCTCTGATGCAACGGCCAGTCAAGGCTCCAGAAAAGGAAATTCGGTATTTTCCCTCCTACAGCCCCGAAAAAAATTTTTCAAAGTTGCCTTTCAGGAGTAAAATAAACTGATACACTAATAACAAACTAATAAACAAAAAAATATATCCCTCCCTCTAATAAACCTCCCCCTCCCTGGAGGTGATCTTAAAAATAGAACCCGCGGGGTTACATTAGAGGAAATACGGCAGTTTTTGTTGAATCGTAATCATTTCGGCCTAACGGTTTTCGGGCTGTGCTCAGATTTAATAAACGCAGCTGCGAAGAAAACACTGATTTTTCGAGTAGTACCGACACCATTTATGAAACGAGCTTAGGCTCAACGTTAGATTCTAACGTTCATCGCCCGATTTCCTCGTTGTGCCATTGATCCCGGTCGGCGCCGGCCACTTATCGATAATATGGAGCGCGGCTCGCCATTTCCCCGGCTTCACAGTTACCGGGTCTGGACCAGCCCGAGGATTTACTTTCTGAAATATATTACCAGTAAATTATCGGTTTCAAGTTTGTACTGACCAAACCTTGTGTAGAATTCTGCGCTGCTTTCGAATATGTGTTGAATTTTGCGGAATCATAAATTTCCGGAAAGTCATCAATGTCTTAAGTTAGGAAACAGATAGCCGGTGGTTTATTTTTAGCGTTTCTCGTTCTTAGGCCGTTGATAACTTTCGCAAAATCCCGATTCCGGAAATTTGGTAAACGCATTTGTGAACAAAGCAAAATTCTGCACAAGGTAGGGATATTCTCAACCTGAAAGCGCAACCACAGTAAAAAAACTCACCTTGTTAGCGTTATCAAACTGAATACCGACTTACCCAGTACAATTTTTGCAACCAATGAAATACAGCATTCCGATATGGCTTCGTTGCTAACAAAACGACCAGGTTATTTGCGAGGTTATGAGGCCCGGTCCAGCCGCAAAAGAGACCCGTTACTGAAGAAAAAGCGACGTTCAGAAAATGTATGCCGACCCCACCAAAAAGTAATATTCTCCAGTCTAAAAATCGCATAAAAGTCAGAAAAAACGTAAATCAGGGCAACCCGATAAATATAGCCATCATGCACGACTAAAAATGGAAAACTTTCTATACCGGCTATTCAGGTCACCTGTAAAAAGAAGATGATAAAGAAATAACGATGCATATCCCGCGTGCGCTTGCTGAGCGTTGGATTCCGATGAGCCAAAAAATAGGTCTCCAGGTTGACGAGACACACGAGCCCGTAGAATGACGCAGCGGCAAAGGTGATCGCCGAGAAGTAGTAGATATATCTGGGCAGATGGCCCATGTCGTGAAAAAGGCGCGTCCCTTTTTTACCGCAAAAAATTTGTTCAAGCAGACAGATCTAGAACTAATGCTGGTTTTCAGGTCCCTAATTCGTTAAAGTTTCCCCTCACCTTGTCGGGATCGGAGATAAGACTCCCGCGAGCACGCGTCTCCCAAAAGAAAAATTGAAAAAGGATGACCAACACCGAGTCTATCGCGAAAACATAATATTTCGCGCCCAAGTAAAAGAAGCGGTGCTTTTGCGAACTCTGCGCCGAGCGCAGCAACCCAATGTGCAGCACGGAACATATGGTGTGCCCCAATAGGCAGAAATACAGGTTCTAAAGGTATATAACAGTAATAATATCTGATCCAACTATACAGGGTGTCCCAATAAAAAAGGTCACGCTGGCATTTCGCCATTTCAAATCTATTCGATCTTAAATTTGGAACAGAACCGCGGAAGGTAATTTAAAATGTTCACAGAAACTTTCAGCCCGATCGGTACAGTAGTTTCCGAGTTATTGCAAAAATACTGTTTTTCCCATTTTCGCTTCATTTTTCCGGCTATCTTTTTGGACTTTGCATCAATTACCATCAATTTCGGCCCTAAATCCCTCATTCTTCTTAACATCGGGGATGATAACACCTTGTTAAAATGATTTAAACAACCTATTTCCAAAACGAATTTTACGAAATAAAAAATTTCCTGGGGTAAAAAAAGGGTCGGAGCT